CACAACTTCAACAATGTTATCTACAATATATAGAGGCATCAGGCAACCCATATCGGCACCCATAGCAACGTCCACCCCGATCGCATCCACAACGAGTGAATCCACGCCAGCATCCATAATCACGTCTACTGCGATCACATCCACAACCGCGAAGTTGCTGTAATTTGCAGCATCTGCCGTGTACATGTCGTCTATCTTGGTTCTATTTGCATCGGCAAAAACCGGGACCGTCGACATGAATCTACCAGAACCCTAAACCCCGAAGCTCCAAGGGCCGAACACGTAAAGCACCTAATCAAAACCCCAAATCTGTAACAGTTAAATGCTGCCGGACTTGCAAAGCGATTCAGGTACTCGGGCAGGTCAAGAAGATGAAGCCTCAGTCAGCCTACAGGTTCGACTCGGGGATTGTTCTTGGTTTTGAGAGGGCTGATACTGGGTTGAAGGGTTTATGGCAATGGAATGCAATTCTGAAAGCCACAGGCTTATAGTGAAAAGAGCGCCACCACGACTGTGACGACCATGACCACCACTACAACCACCATGACCACCACGATGACGACCACCAGGAGACCACTAGGGGCACGGGAGGCAAGCACCGGGACACGACTACGGGCACCAAGCAATGGAGCCATTCAGGAGGAGGGCCAGCATTGTTTTCCCAAGTGCAGGAGGCATTCAGAGTTGTCCCGGCCGAAGGGTGGTCCATCCATGAATGGGGTTCGATCCAAGCCAAGAGTAGGACAGCCTGTTCTGAGTGCGCCGCGCTCGCACTAGCCAAGTAGTCGCTTTTATACACTAAACGTCGGAGAACTACGGTGTAATTGCGTAGGGTCGGAACGGTTTAACCACAAATTATTCCCAAGTCTTTATGTGAAGTATGTTTAGAGGCTGCTGATGGGGCTTATGTGGTTTATACATGGTCATGCTAGGGTGTAATAACGAAGTTTGCAGTAGGTGTATGGTAGGGAGGTTTCGGGTTTTGGGTTCCAGTTCAGGCTTTAGGCATAGGTTTTTGTTTCATTCTACTAGGCCGTCGGTGAGGAAGCTAATGCAGCAAGCAGCAATCCTTCGTGGCAAGTGAATCAACAGTGACGCCTCATGCCAGGGTGAGAACAGAAACACGGCCAGGGCTTTCTCGGCACTACTTGTGAATTAAGTAACGCAGGTAGTGCTGGGAATGAGACTTGTAGCCTAGCTAAAGCTTGCCTGTTGCAGCACATATGCGACACATAAAGTGGCGATGCAATGCACTGACAGCAAAAGCAGCTGCATAAGACTGTATTCAACATGGTAGTACAACACTACGAACACCACCAAAGTTGTCAAACACGAATGTAAACCGCGTCCTCTGCACCATTCTTGGGTTATGCCGTGCCTGCACTGTTTGTTTCTCAATCTGTTGGAGTTATCAGCCATGGTGCTTTCTCACGTCCTACACGCCCTCCCATCCCAGCCCCTCCTGTTTCAACCTGGCCCAAAGGACAAAAGATAACTTAGACACAGGGATGCTGCTCCCCCACGCGGAGAGTTCTGCAGGACACGACCTCACGGAAAGCCCTCGACCCTCAGGGTCACCTTCCTTGATGCAGGTATTTGGGTCCCGGGCGCAGTGACCTGCAGCAGTTTGTTGTGGATGGACGAGAGACTCAGCAAAATATTGGGGAGAAATTCTACATCATGGCAGCTGCAACAACCCACGCTGGAAGCTGTGGTAAACCCTGCTAGTCGTAGCTTTTGTGCTCTAGCTCTCTGGATAGTCAGCATCACAGCAGTACCGAAGCAACAACACATGTAGCAATTCGGAAAACTGCACTGACCGTGCCAGTATGACGAAGACACCGTGATAGTATTCATAACAAGAGCCGTCATTCCGAACTCGATGACTGTGTTCACCATATACCGGAGGAGCCCCAGCCATGCATAAACGCCAAAAACCCCTAGAACCTGAACCTTCAGCCATCGAATCAAAGCCCGAGACTGAAAGCCGAAACCCGAAGCCTTGCCTCCACCCATTGCTCGAGGATGTAGGACCCAAAATAAGCAGAGCCACGGTTTTGGGTTTAGGGTTTAGGGTGTAGGGTTTGACCCATGAACTGCAGCTATCCAGGATCCGCAGTCCTTGCTCCATGCCGCCCAGCACGGTCATTCGGATTCTTGGCTGTCGACTTGGAGAGTTTAGAGTCTGGGCTTCGGGATTTACAAAGTTTAAAGTTTAAAGCACCCAAGCCCCCAAGTTCCTCACAACTCCGGATCAAAGCATCTGAGCCTTCCTGAGCCCCATCGGAACCCCTACACGCCTAAAATTCCGAAAGCCTGGTTCTTGGCATCAGGCTGAGGGTGAACTATGGCAGAGCTCAATGGCATCAGCGTGAATGTAACTATAAAACAAACACTATACTGTCCTCTAACACTGTAAAGGGATGCTACGCCAGAGAAGTCGAAAAAAACAATCCTGAGAGTTTCTCTTCGTACGTAGTTTACAGATTTCCGGTTTCAGACTTTAGGTGTCTGGGTTACCTGTTAACGACCCTATATCAACTTCAGTACGTTGCCTAGCTGCAAGAATGATGTCATTCGGCACAGGTGCCTACAGACCATACCGGAAAGTGCATTTTGCTACTAACCAGGATGTCATTTGCCGCCGCTGCCTGCCCGCTGGCGATGTCAACCCGGATCAAGAGGCCCATGGCCGCAATAGAGAGCATGGGAGAGCAACATAATTTCTGCTGAAACGGCATCAGCATCAGTGCCATGTTACCATCGGTAGCATCCAAGGACGCACCGTCGATGGTGGTAGCAAGACATCAAGCGGTCATCACCAGGTTGCCGCAATTTTGTCATGTAAGATGAATGCAGGAAGCAAAAGTAAGTTCGAGTGGTGAGTGATCACATGAAGAGCAGCACAACAGAACACAGTATAATCTGATGTAACATATTATGACATATCACAATATATCAGTTTAACAATGTAGATAAAGAACAAAAATGCACATGAACAGATAGGCCAACACAAAAATTGCAGATTATGTATATAGACTGTCGAAAATCCGCAGTAGTACTCTCAACATGTATCCGAACGGCTGGCCTGCTCGCGCTAAACGCTGAACCATGCCCCAGCATAATCCCTACACTGCGCCTCACACAACCCTACATTGGCTTCCAGGTGGACAAGAACGGCCTGACTGCTCTGCATTACGCTGCCGGCCGCGGTGATCTCGGGATCGTCGTTGCCCTGCTGGAGCTCCAACCAAGGGTTCGCAGTTATGTCTATGCCTGAGGGGTTGGGGTGTGGGGTTTGAGGTTTGTTTGTATTTCAAGTTTGTTTTCTGTTCAGGATTTTGGACGGTTCAGGGTTAATCAATATTTCGGCATATGGGGCAAGAGCCTTGAGCCTGATGCCGGATCCGCAGACACCTAGCCAAATCTAACCTACTGAGTGGTAGTAAACAGTGTTTATGGAGGCTCTTCGTACGCAGGCGCGGGCTCAGGAGTCTGCACCGGAGGTATATAGTGTGTTCCCCTATTGTCATCGCCCGAGTCATCGAGGTGCCGGTTGGCGCATGTGTACGACTCTTCAGGCATCTTTTTCTTCTGATGATGCCTTAATTTTTATATGACACAGCTTATCTGGGACATTTGCAAGCCAATCAATCAGCCCAGAAGACCCGCAAAGACCGAAAGCCGCACAATTTCAGAGCCGTGAACGCAGGAGAATCAAAATCCCAGGCCTAAAGATCTGAGCTTCATATCCTCCCCACAAACACCAAGCCGCCTGTCACCTGAAGCGGCCAACCACACTCCCTCCCGAGCATCGCCCGGGCCAGCCACCAAGTGCTCCAGAGGGTTAGGGTTGAACATGACAAGCACGTTTCAAAGCAGAAGATGGGAAGCTGCCACATTCAAAGCCGCACTCAAGCCTTGACCCAAAGGTCATACCAACACCGATTGTGTGTGTGTGTGTGACTCAATCACTTGTGGTTGTACTTGTGCCGTCTGCACCATTGGTACAGACATAATATGACGTGTCCTCAGGGCTTGAAGTGTGAATGTCGGACGGCTCCTGGAAGAGCCTGAATTGTCTTGCAGCGTTGAGGGTAGGGGTTTGTTTATCTAGGGTTTCGGTGTTTCTCTGAGTGGCGCAGGAGCTGTCCGCGGGTGTGGACACCAGAAACAAGGACATGTCACTTGTCGAGTTACTGGACGGCTGTCTACCATGCAGAGATCACCCCAGGGGAAGCAAAGAGCCGGTTTACTTGGCCAGAAAAGAGCTTCTTCTACTTTTATTCTTTAATATAACAGTGTGTAGGCATGATAGATCGAAAGCCGCGACCCAAAGGCTTGCATGAACCCTCTATGTAGACTGTCTGAGTCCTAAGTCAAACAACTAGGAACTCATCCTCGAGAGCACGCTTCACCAAATAAATCCTCTGCAATCCAACCGTACACCTTCGGGCTTAGATCTTCAAATCCGAGACCTGGAACCCTCAGACTCGCTTTTGGCTTCCAAAGTGCCCGAAAACCAAAACCACATTCATAAAGCCAGAGCCCAGACGGGTTGGGTTTCGGGTTCCGAGTTTATCAGGTGAGTTGTAGGATGCAGCAGGTAAGGCTAAGGTGAAGCAAGGCAGCGCAGAAGAGCGCGGAAGTTATTCGCTTCTTCCAGTTCAGTGTAGACTTCGGCTAAAAAGCACCAAACGCATTTTGCAATTATTATTGGGCTCCCATGTCGACCCTCAGTGCTCCATCAGAGGGGCTTTTCCGGCAGCATTGTACATTCAGACCCTGCGGCTCCGAACGCTGACTACCTTAAACTGCCACTCTCAACTGTAGTTCAGTATTAGTTCAATATGCACGAAGAGGCGTAAACAGCATAACAGCAGACTCTCAAGCTTCGTTTAGCATAGATGCCGTCAGCCCAAGCAGGATGCGGGGTCTTGAGCTCCAAACACGAAGCCTTACACTCTTGACGGAGATAAAGTTCCAGGCGAACGCCGCTGATGTGGGCGGCGAGAAACGGCCATATGGAGGCCTAGGATTCCTAGGTGCTTGTGGCTTAGTTCAGGGTCGGATCTGGGCCGGAGCATCCGTGCGCTGTTGAGGCAAACGAACACCTATTCAGCTCTTAAGAGCAAACGTTTTAGGGCTGCATGCGCCTTTACTGTGCTTCCAAAGATCTGGGTGATTAGCCTGTCGCAGGCCCTGAAATCCTTACCTAGCCTCTGAACAAATCCCGTAGTCCCTAAAGCTACCCGCAAATTCTCATCGACGAGCTCAGATTCCAGTCCGAAGTTGGTAGGAAGCTTTCACCATGCACAAATTTGCAGTTCTATGATTTGGAGGGCTTAATCTGTCAATCTGCATAAACAGCATGCGAACGTGTATGGGTCATTGTTTCTACACTGGCTTTTTGTTCTTGTTCATCCTGATTCCAAAGCTGGCACCAACCTCGCCTGGTTGTGGCACTCCCGCGAGACCCACGTAACATGGAGCCAAAACCCGAGACTTGCGAGACCTGCAGAACTGACATCACCAGCCTAGAGCACATAAACGCCCGGCCCACGGTGATTATGTCAGCACAGAACACCCTCCAGGTGTGCGAGGAGCTGGTGAAGAGAGGGGCCTGGGCCCCAGCCAGTGGTGCTCCTAGGCCCTAGGCTTCCCAGCCCAAGTGCCAAAGTGCTACATGAACCCTTAACTTGGTTTACGAGGGCAACGCGTCAAACTCCATACCGGAACTACACCTCTCGAGGCATTGCCTTTCCATCCCTCAACAATCCACGACACTCTCCCCGAAGCCAGAAACATGGTGATCCGAGGCCGATGTACGCGCGGCCAACAAGTTGGGTATCTGCTGCCTACATTGGGCCGCTTGGTCTTCCTCCCTTTCCAGAGCCGACTGTCTAAGGTGTGGACTTTGGGCTTTCGGTTGGGATTGAGGCCCGAATCCTCGTTTGGTCCGGAGTGCAGATCTGGATCGTGGCTTTTGAGGCCCCCCCTACCAGGACCAGGAGCCCAGATACTCGTATCGTCCACTGCGAAACAGAGGCTGCTTGGGGCGGATCGCTTGATGCCGTCGCTTTCCTCTTGGACAAGGCTAGCCCGACTGACTTTTGACCGTTTTGACGGGTTCGACGCTGGGAATCCATGGAAGACTTAGTACTCTTCGGAGCTAGCGGCTTCCCCCAAAAGCCTGCGAATCCTGTTGTCTTGTGAAGCCCTGAGTTGAGCGCTTCCACCGCGTGATCCCGGAAGACTATACCAGGCACCTGGACTCCGAACCCAGATGGCAGAAACCACACCCCAGAGATCTCGAATTGCACCTCGAACGACAGGAAGCCGACATCAACTCCGCACCATGGCGTGACTTGTGACACGCTGATAGCCCTGTTGGGGTTGAAATTGTGGATTTTGAGTGGTCGGGGGTTTGGGGTTGTTAAGTTTCGTTCGGCCTTTCAGGGCTTACTTCAGGGTCTTTAGTGCAGCTTGTTGAGCTCATGTGCTTCGTGAGGTTTAGGGCTTAGGGTTTAGAGTTCATAGGAGTTGGGTTTGAGGGTATAGTTCATTTGGGGTTTGTGCTTTGTGGTTAAAGGTTCCGGGTTGTTGGTGTTTGTGCTTCTGCACGACTCTCAATGCCCTACACTACAGAGGTCTGCAAAATGATTAGTCAGAGCCCGTCTAACACCTGTATGATTAGACTGCAATCTATGCTTGACTCTCGCACCAACTATTCAAGCCCCCATCTTCGAACCCATAACATCGAGTCCCAGACGCCCCGGAACCCGAACAGGTTTCGAGTGTATCGGTCTCAGGATCTCGGGGTGCATATCCTGGGTTTAACACTCTGTGGCTCGGGGTTTGAGCTTGAAGGTCAACGGTTTGTTTTTCTGAGTTTTAGGGAAGCCGATTCTCGGATTTCCAGAACTTCGTCGTCTTTATTTCATTATGTCTTGCAGAACGAACTCCTGGTTGGCAGAAATAGTGTTTCCCCCGTGGAGTCCTTACACACTTGTATTTTGCGGGGACATCACTCAGAACCCTACTCTGTTCATCACGACCCACGGTACCTTCAATCTCAAGACTCCAAAATCCTGACATCGCCCTGAACTTTAGAATCTCCAAGCACAATCAGCACCCAACAGCGAATCTCTCCAGACTTCTAGTTGGCGCTTCCGAACTTAAGGATGCACCTATTGGTGGCAGGTCACCCATTAGGGTTTGGGGTCTAGGGGTTTGCAAGGCCACAACCCTGAGAATGTTTGCAACTCTAGAAGCTTCTAACCCATCAGCCTTACAGGTGTTAAGCACTGGACTACATCAGCGACGAGCCGTAAGGCCTGAAACCCAAGGCCCCTGTATGGTAAGCCTAAAGGCCCTGAAGTGCACACCAGAATCGAAGACAGCAACCACTTCAAACCATATGCCAACCCCATGAGGTGTGCCATGCGGGTTGCAATGTAGCAGCATCTCGCTGGCAACTCGCGGAGTGTTTTGTCTTAGGCTTCAAAGTAAGGGCAGCATAGAGTCTGTAGAGTTTAGGGCATGGTCGGTCCAGCTTTTTGGCATTTGGCTTACGGCTTGAGACAATTGCAGGTCCTTGTGTTGTAGTTTTCAGCGACTGGGGTTGTGTCCCATGCTGTGCTGGGATGAACAGTGAAACTGGTTTAATTCTAGCAAGCCTTCAGGCACGGGCGTTTGAAAGTCTAGGTTCATCTGGTATCGAGGTTCATATCGTGTCGAGGATTATACAGGATTTAGGGCTAGCAAACCCTCCTTGTGCAACACGAAGTAGGTCATGGTAGTTTAAGACAAAGTTCTTACACCCCAAGCGAGGTTTGGGCTGCGACAGCCGGCTCCTACGAAATGTGCGTGTGCCTAGGCTTCGACAAGATCTATGTTCAGCGTTTCCCAAAGCGTGAAGCGCCAAAGCCCCACACCATAAAAGTTTACGTCAAGTCCCAATCACGCATGGCCCTAGTTTCTGAATTCCTGTTTCCTTATGCAGTAAATCACCGTGAATGTCAACCCCAAAGCCTGGCCAAAGCCACACATCAACCGACCAGGCAGACTGTAGCAGGACCTACGTACTAAAATTTCGGATCGCACATCGAGTTTTGGTGATTCCTGAGACACTCGGTAATGATATTCAAAAATATATGCATCCGATTACTACAATACAAACCTTAAAGCAACGTTCTAGTTAGAAAGGATCTTACAGATTACAATCTTCAACCCGCGTGAAGCCCCACGATGTCGAGAAAGGCATTGGGTTTGAATTTTCTCGAGCCCTGCCAATGAGAGTCCAGGGCGTCGTATTCAGAGCTTTTCGGGCACCCTGTTCACCCTAAACCCTCAATCCTATAGACCCTAAGCTTTACAGAATTTGCTTTCGGGTGTTGGGGCTAGGAGTCGAGTTTTCGGCGCGCAGTATACACTTAAAAGAGGACTCAGGGTAGTGAGGTGTAGAGATTGGAAAGGATAGTCTGTTTGCTCGTAGCGTCGGAGTTAACGATTTTTCAGACTTAATGTAGGGCTTGGAGAGTTTAGCTTTTGGCGTTTGGGCTCCTCCTTTCCTCCAGTCTGAGGTGGTTACATGAGAAGAGAGCTGACTTCGCATCCACCAACAAGCCGCTTGCTTGCAAGATGTATTGCCAAGCTTTCACAACTGACTTTGTTTGTGGGGATCATGTGTCGATCGGGCACATAACATATCACAGGCTTTCCAGGTTTGGCGTAGCTCTTATGGCCTAGCATCAACCCTGATGCCCTCGCCTCAAATTGGAACGTTCTGAAGCTGCGAACGCATAATCCCATAGAGAGTGGGTTCAGTTTCAATAAGTTGCTGTAGGCTTAGTAGGTCAGTTGCGCTAGGACGGTGCTAGCATTGTGAACCCACAGTATAGAGCCCCAAACGCCAAACCCCGCACCTCCAAGCGAGGAATGGACATGGAGTTCTGAACAAAATCGCCTGGCGAGGTCGGGCGACATAGGGTTTAGTTTCAGGGTTTAGGGTTTAAAAACCTCCTGAAAATCCTGAAGCGCAAAAGTTTCAGCTGAAAGACTGAGTTTAGGGGCAACGCTTTTGTGTTTTACGTTTCGTTCTACATCGTAAATCGAAAGCCCATCCGCCCAGGTTTAAGCGTGGCCGTTGAGTTTGAGGTTGATCCCATATAGTACTACACGTGCTCAGCGTTGCATTGGGTTCTTCGCGGGTTTGGGGTTCACAGGTTTGCTTCGGCCGTCAAAAACCTATGCGGGGAAATTCTATTTCTGGCAGAAGTGGTAGAGTACATCACTCTGCTCCTGCAAAGCATTGGTTCCAAACAAACCAGGTCTCATTGCCGCATTTACGGTATCCATGAGGCCCTACAACTCGAAAAGCCCCACCTAAAACCCTTGGACAAATGGGATTGTAATTCAGAGATCTTCTAATCGGCATTTTCCGGAGATCAGGAAGCCCTACAACCCTGAAGCCCCAAATCCGAGAGCCCCAGACCCTATAAGCTAACACACGACAAACCCTGAAGCCTGAAGGCCCAAAAGCTTAAGACCTCATTTGAACTCGAAGGCCCAAACCCTGAGCCGGGCCCCGGGAGCTCTACTTGAAGCGCTGCTGGACGAGGGAACCCGAGTCTGTCAGACACTAGCTGTGTGCGCACATGGGCCCTCAGGGCTCTACAATGCGTGTGTACGGGAGACGGCTCTCATTTATGCCTACGAGCCTAGGGAACCCAAGTCACAAGTTTGGGATGTCGCAGGGCACAGCGAAAAGCTTGCTGGTTGGATGCTGAATCTGGACGGCGTCGAACCACAGTGGCTCGCCGAAAACCCAAAACCCTAAACCCGTAACTCTAGATGACCTTTTTTCAGCGATACAAGGAAGGTCCGATAAACCGGAAACCAACCCTGAGCTTCAAACCTAATCCCTAAACTCTATGTAACCCCTAAGTTCTATTTGCCCTAGTCAGTCGACCGATCAGATTCGAACCCTCAACCCCAAAACTCTTCGCCCTCAGAACTGATGTGAATTTTCAAGGGTCTTCTCACTTTCCAGGCTGAATGAAGGTTCGAGCTTTTCGGTTTATGGAGTCAGGTTGTAGGGTTGCACGTTATAAGTTATATATGGTTTGTTTTTCAGTTGGAGTGTTCAGGGCTTGATGGCGTGTGTCTATGCGAAGTACTTAGGGCTTGCAGGTTGCTGTCTACAGTTGCGTGCAACAAAGTTGCAGGATTCAAGGTTTTCGGGATTACAGGATATAGAAGTTGAGTTTTGCACGGTCAATGCACAATCAGCCCTTAGCCCGAAGAAAAGTTCTGTAGTCAACCACAGGCCCCTGGGGAAGTGCATGTTCAGGGTTTATGGGTCCCGGAACTGTTAAAGACCAGCTCGTGGGGAAATGAGTGTTTGATCCACAGAAACCAAGCCACGAAGCGGATTACAGTTCCGTGCATGGCTCTCAGGCTTTTCGCGCGCGACTGGGAGAACGAGCTTCCTTTGGACAGGGCGCGCCAACAAGGAGCCAGGGTTTGGGAGCGTGCAGACGACGCGGCATCAATCCAAACTTTAAACGGTGCTGTTTGGGGCTGCCCCTACAGAGGTTGTGGCGGTTCGTGACGTGAGCTGTTTCGGCTGTGCACCTCCCGGCAAGCCGCAACCCGATTGAAAGCCAATGCTGTATGATTAAGACGTGCATGTATCGTTTCGAGCTTGAGGTTTAGGGTTTAGCTGATGCAGTAGTAAATCTTGGGCCCGAAGCACTCGCAAGGTGGATACCTTGAGAACCGAAACTATTCGTAGCTTGAAATTGGAAGCATGCGTCTCATCATCCTTACCTCTACTCGCAAGTTTGGTTCCTTTTGCTCAGACCCCAAATCATAAACGATCCTGACCTACAGCTGGTCAACACCGGAACGGAATTACACTGGAGAGTATAGGTAGCATTGCTGCCCCCCGGCCAGGTCATACACGGCTTGCCGAGTGGCTTCATCAAGAGATGTGCCAGCGAAGGCCTTGTTGGTGCGAGGAAAACCGAAGTTCGCAGCTCGTTTCCGAGGTCCAGAGCCCCAAACACTGATCCCTAGAGGGCGACAAACAATCAAGCCCGCAGACCACAAGGTAAACCACAACTGAAAGCCAGGGCTAATTACTGGGTTTGTGCACCAAGGCTTCCCGAACAAATCCAAGTTCGAAGCCCTGTGAACCCTAAATCTGCACTGCCCACACTCCTCAAGCCGCTTAACCTGTTTATACCACTACGGACCAAAAGAAAAGCAGTGCTTTGTTGACACCATCCGGCCTTGACTCGTTTGCATGGGTCTATGCCTTCAAGCTTGCTTGCTTGTAGCCTGGCCTTCCAACTATGCAGGCATGTATGCATGTAACATGTATGTATGCATATATGTATGCATGTATGTATCCGACCGCGTCAAGAAGCATCTGGCGATGGCCCGGAGACTTGCCACCCGTGCGCTCCTCCTGCTGTCCTGCAGCCGGGAAGGTTCGCTGGGTTTTAGCTCCCAGAGGTTTGGGTTAAAGTTTAAAGCTTGAGATTTGCGGTTAGCTGCTGAGGTTTGGTTTCGGGCTTCAGAATCTGGCATTCCGATTGCGGTTTAGACTTTATCGGGTTTAGGGTTTATAGCTCCTATAGGACTTGGGTTTAGGGTTTAGAGTTGAGGTCTGGGTGTCGGGTTGGGGAATGTCCGGTGATTGGGTCCTGCCGGTCTTTGGCAGAAGGATGGCGTAGGGCTCACGGTTTAGGGATTAGGGCTTCAGGCGTTTGGGAGTTTGATGTTTATAAGGTTTGAAAGTTTAAGGTGTAGGGGTTTAGGGTTTCAGAGTGCTCGCGCTTTTCCCCGCAATGGTTTCTTCCTCCCTCAGGCTTTTGTGTCCGCTAGTACTAGCTAGACACAACGCTGCTGTTCCTGGCGAAACTTCGGTCACATCTTTCGTGCAGTTCATGGATTCAGGCAGCTTTCGTCATCTTGGGTGTGGGTTTTCTTATTCTTGGGCATCGCAGGCTCATCTCACAGCACTAAGCCCTCAACCGTCAAGCCACTAGCATCGAACATCGTGAGACCCACAGGCTTGAAAGAAGAAACTGCACACGAGGCAGGAGCTCGCTGCCGCCATTCTCGCCAGCAGGAACAGCATTGCAGGTGCCTTTAGGGTAGAGACTCATGGGGCTACATTGTGAGGCCAAGGGAAGCACTGCATTCTTATTCTCGTTTCAGGTTGCGGCTCCAGGGTATAAAAATCTCAAGGTCCAGGGTTTAATGTTACGTAGTTTGTGTTTGAGGTGGTCGGCGTGGAGGTTCCATGCAATTCGGTGTAGACCCTAAGCTCTCCAAACGTTTGAGCTTGCGGCTCAGACTTGCTTGGTGCATAAGCATCGTCGCAAATGATGCATGCATGTTGCATGGGTGGCATGGTAGCGAACGGTCAAATACTATGTAAGCCCCTAAACTCGAAGCCCTTAAACCCCGTTAAACCTCAGGCCGCCCGGCAACTGATCCGCCCGGCAGTGACCTTGCAGAAAGATGGCGAGTTCGAGGGTGGAGAGCTCCCTGGATAGGTTTACTATCGGACCTGAGGGCTCGTGAGCCTTCACTTGAGTTTAACGGGGTTTTACAATGTAAGCTGGTTCTATGGGGTTTGAAAGATGGTTTCTTACGGAGGTCTGAACAAGTCGTAAGGACAGAGCCTGCAGCCTGCGCTCCCGCAGCCACTTCTGACTGCACTTCTTTCAGTCCTGAGAGAGTTTTGGGAAGGGGAATGTTTGGGAAAGGAACTCAATTCGCGCACTCGCTCCTGCAATCGTGGGATGTCGGATGCGGTCCGGTGATAATCCCTTACTTGTGCGAGACAGGGAAGGAAGCATAATTGAGCCCACGGGTTCTTGTACACACTCACTCGCTCTTGCAATCATCGGATACTCTGATAACCCCGAAACTCTGAGTGAGAATACAGGCTCAGTAGTAATTGAGTTTCAAAAAACCCATACTTGGGCTAAATGCCTCTCGAAAAACATTAAAAAGTAGGGGAACGCTTAGATGTCGGTACTGCGTTTTTCGTATAGAGACCCCCAAAGAGCGTGGTCCGACACTAGCGGGTTCTCACGTCCAGTGTGACAAACGTTAGATGCTTGTCCCTGCGTGGCAAGCGCCTCCAAACATCGTGCTCCTGCCACAGTCCCACCCACATTTGGGACGACTCGTGCTACTGCCACAGCATGGCGCGTGTTTTGAGGTGCCATTCGCGCTGCATGGTGCACGGTTTGGGCTCCTGGAGTGGTCTTGGGAGCTGCAGGGATGTTCTCGTGGAGTGTTTTTATCGGGATTGCAGGGTCTGGAATGCTAGGTGCTTTTGTGTTTTCACATTTTTTTTGGGGGTCTATGCTGCAAGTGAATTCGGTGTAGAAGCCCTCACCGACCCTAGTACATATTCAACACCAGGAGTTATTGGAACTTAGCGTGTATGGACTGCTGGGCACTTTTCGAGGCTCGGTCACGGCTTCCGGGCTAAGAAGCCAAATCGATCACGACAGAGGCTTTGACCTCTACAGGGACTCAGATCGGCCGGCCTCCTTCAGTCATTGGCTGAACCAACAGTAGCAAAGTAATACTTCTTCTAGCACCTGTACAGTTGAGGCGTACTATGCCCAGAGCCCTGTCCTTGTCGTTTGATTTGTAACTGATAGCAAACTTGGGCCTTCGCTACTCAGGTTCTGGGAGGCACACGAGGAGCTGCTGAAGCGAGCCTGGCAGGCCGGTGCAACAGCTTGCACTGGCTTTGGCGCATGTAGGTTCGAGTTTGCTGATGACAAAGCTGGAACTCTATCGGTGCAAGATGTTCTGAACCTCCAAGCGAATGCACTACGTATGAGCTTCGTGTGTTCGATGCGTCGGTAACATGGCCGGTACAAGCATTGAGTTTTCAGTTTTGCATAGGCGCAAGGAAGGAAACCTCGTAGGGCCAACCTTCAATTTCAATTGAATTCCCCCAAACCTCTAACTAGGCAACACCCCTCAACCCTGATCCCCCTAAAACCCGACGGAAAAACAAGAAATTGAAAGAGGAACATGGGCCGCTTCACGCTGACTTGTACAACTTTGGCCCTGTCTTTGAACGCAGAGCCTGGGTTCAGGATTTAGGATGTTAGAAGTTTCGGGTGTCACGGGGCTTATGGGGGTCCAAAACGGTTTTATCGGCGTTTATGAGTTTAGAGTTTAGCAGGTTTAGGCTTGTCGCAGAAGTCGCATTCAGGCATTGCCTTTTGGGAGCTCAGTGGAGTCTGGTGCGTTTTTCTCTTTTCCGGTTATGGGCAACCGCAACTCGTTCTGCCTGCCGACGCTCGGTAGGGAAGGTCGACTGGGCCACTGCAGTTGGGATGATTATTGGAGGTTCTGATATGTATTAACTTTATCAACAAGTCTACTGCAAGTTTCAGAGGCCAACACTGTACCATCAGGATACCTGAGCCCCAAGCTGCGCGCTGCAGTCCGGCTGGCACGGGAAGAAGGTCGCGGCTTTCAGATCACGGTTAAGAGGCTTGGGGTCGGGTTCAGGGTATTAGACTCTAGAGCTGGAGCTGTTCCAGCGGGTCACACTGATATGGTTCAGGGTGCTGCGCGCTGTCACTTCGTTTCAGTTGCGACATCGGCTTCCGGAACCCTCATGCAGCTTTCCGTAGATGTCCATGCGTGTCAGTGCTCTATAGTGTATGCACCGTATATAAGTAGACCTAAGAAACAGCAATATACACGTATATGTTTAAAACATAGACATACATGTATAATGTATATGTATATCTACATATATATATATATATATATCAACCCCATATGAACCCATCATGTTCCTGATGTGTCCATAGCCTACCTACGTCATGGGTAGTCTGGCTTCCAAGGCAGGTCTCTCATGTCGGACTTGGGGTCTGGTGCTAATGGTATTTATCTCCAGAAATCTTATTGAGATGCCGTTAAAGGTCGAATTGTGGGATGGAGTCCTACAGTTCAGGATATGTCCGAGGGTTTAGGGCTTTGGGATTAAAGGTTTAAGCTAGCTGGGATTTAGGTTTGGGATTTAGGGTTCAGGTCCCATATCCCGAATATCACTCCGTCAGGCTTGAACGCTAGATCTCCCTTAATGCCTGAACCTCTACAGCAAATAGCCTTCTCATCGTGTACATTTCTTGGCAGGGTCCATCGTTTAATGGATCAGGCAATCAGGGCAGGGATACACTAAACCATACTAAAGCCGACACGTTGTTTCGGTACCCCCGATTCCCGAGCACCAAGCTTTCACCGTTCAGAAGCCGATGGGAGGCAGAGAAGAGGCACTCCAAGGGCTTTTCGAGGAAATCTTGCCTGGCGTGCCGCTTGGCATTAATACATAAACGATATCATAAGACTTAACCGGTAAGACCCATGCAAGCCTTAAGCCTTCACAAAAGGTATTCAACCTTTGGAAACCCTGAATTCCCAGAGAGATCTTGAGTCGCGAGACCTTGGGTCTGCTCTTAACAGGGTTTCGAAGGAGAGCGCGTGTCTTTGGGAGTTTTTCGGTCGTCGAGAGGCTGCCGGTTTAGTTGGGGTTTGGGGTTGTACAGTTTGGGATCTATACGGTTCAGGGTTTCAGGGCTATAGGGCTGTAGGCAATTACAGGCATTATAGGTTTAGGGCGTGGCCTGGCTCCATGTTTGCGGCTTCCCAAACCAATCCTTTATTCTGGACCTTCAACTCCTTCTGTGCGAGCAGAACCGAATAGTGTTAGGTCTTCCACTGCCCACTACTTACTAGCCCTGCAAGTACAATCACGACCACGATGACGACACGACCCCTGCTACTAAATTACTACTTGTAGCATTGCTGCTCCTACCACTGAAGCACTCCTAGATAGAAGCCTCGTCCTATCTCATTGATTCCCATGAAAATATTGTCCCATGTTGTGGCCCAGGTTTGCCAGCGAAGATATCTTCAGCGCGGCCTTTCGCAAGGTTCCGCTCCATCAGTTGCTACGCATTTGGGAGTCCAGCAGCAGCCCAGCGTGAAGGGCTTAGAGATGAGTCGGAGCCGGAGTGTTGTGCTTATGGTTTTCAGTCGCAATGTCAGTCACGGTGTCAGCCTTTGGTTGTTGCTTCGGCAAAAGAACAAGAAGATGCACAGATAAACTTGATTGCTTTGGAGTAAACCAGCCCTGGGTCTCGAAGCTCCCAAAGCAGCAGCTTTGAAGCCGTTTGAACCATGTGCCCGAACCCTCCGGTCCACGAACTCTTTCCGCCAGGACTTCTTGGAGGAGCTCGAAAGAATAAATTCCGCTGGCATACCAACAAGGAGGCTCGTACCCAGCAGCTTTTTGCTTGAGCACTGCTGCTGATACAGAGGTCGGAGTAATCAGTGCTCCCATCGCCTGATTCATGGTCCCTTAAGAACTGTAGCCATACTCCCAAAACCGTATCTATATAGTTGCTTAGGCCACTAAACAAACCTTAAAACTCTGCAATGCGTGATCCACACTGTTAAACGTTGGTAATTTTGCTCGTGTACCAGGCTTGACAGCCTCAGACTCGCAGCATTGCTGGGACGGTACCAGCTCCCAATGCCGTCCTGATCTATACGCGAATTCCAATGCACAGCTATAGCATGACAACGGCAGGGGTAGTTTTACAATTTAGACAGATTCCTGTGTTACATAAATCCTGGACAACCCCGAGGGCCTCTTCTGAGAATACGGTCATTCCAACATATCATATGGCAAACCATCAATGCTTCATCATGTCACATCCAGACTTGGCTGATTCACCACTGCCTGGCTTGCTGGCTGATGCCGGCTGACTGACCGGCGAATGACTGCCTGCCTGGCCGGCCGACCGACCGACCAGCAGACCGACTGACCGACTGACCGACTGACTGACTTCAGCATCGGACTAACACAATAAGAGAGCGTGTGGTCAGCTATCTTCTTCGACCCGCTGGAAGTGCAGCCCAGCCTCTCCCAAAGAACTGTTGCCATACGGTAATGTTGGCGTTGAGTAGTCACGTTGCCCTGGGGGTAGAGCTGGACTCCCGAAGCAAGCCCACACCCCCGGGACGCTGAACCCCACCTGAACTCATGAACTCATAGCCACAGACCTTGCACCCCCAACACCTGGAAGCCTCAACTATTCACCCGCAATAGCTCTTGAGCTTCAGCTGAGCCAAGGCCGAACGGGATGAATAGATACGGCGTGATTCTAGTCCCTCAGATGCAAAGGACTTCCTGCACATGGCAGTCTTGGTTTTAGGATGCTTGTAGGGTTTGGGTTGGGTTTTAGGGGTTTAGGCTTTTGGGCCCACGGCCTTAAACCCAAAGTCCCTTAAACTCATAAAATGAATTCCCTAGCTGACCGGGACGCAAGGATTCCCATTGTCTCTGTGGCAGATGACAAATGGGCTGATTCTGGTGCTTTGCCGGCGGACACGACAAACATGCTTACCTCGCATCGGGCAGGACTTTCGAAGCTAACGCATGGCCGATGTAGTGGAGACTTAGTTGGGCGCACGGACGGTGTGTAAATCATAGAACATGCACGCAGTCTATGCACCGCATCGCAGTGGGAACCCAGGTCCTAGGGAATCTCTGGGCGGGCGCATTTGTGCAGACACTGGCCAAGTCCGCTCATGCTTTTAATGTGGTCAGAATTCACATCGCGTACCACGTTGTTAGAAAAAACTGAATTCAGATTGCTGCGTAACCAGCCCACCAGAAAGCTCAGGATCAGATCGGATTCGAGAAGGTTTTAAACGGTCTCCCGCCAGCAAGTGTCTGCGTTTCGCGTTTTGGGGTTGAGGGCTTCATTCCAAGGTTGCATGCTTCTTACAATTGGCACACCTAAAGAAGGGCGACCATGTTGCAGTGCAAGTTTTTCGGGGCCATCCAAATTTATAGCCGACATCACGCACCGATCACCTGTTGTGGTCGGGTTCTTGTTTGGGGATGAGGTCCCATGCTGTCAGTTTCCAGGTTTCAGGGGGCCAGGAGAGCATTCAGCAGTGCTTGCGGACCTCTGGACGGAGACCGACATGCCAAAAGCGAATTCCAGATCGACCATACATGTAGGACAGGGATTGAATCGGAACTGCAGTTTGTATTTGGTTCCCATATTATGCATACATGCTCACTTGTTTGTTTACATGTTATGTGTCACTTACTTGCTATCTCAAAGGTTTTTGGCTTTGTTGGTTTGTCTGCATTTTTGTCTGCGTGTCTGTATATATACATATACATGTAAGCATAATATACGCACATTATCATTCGACAGCGAAACCTGAACATTCAAGCCAAGGCCTTGTGGACAACTACATCAAGCCGCTGGGAGGAATGCTTTTTCCCGAGCTGGTAGGTGCGCATGATGCCGACGAGCACTATGCGTTTACAGCAGCGCGCCCGCAATCTTGCTGACGACTTGAACCGAGATGTCAAGCAGGTTCATGGGACTGTGTGTATGCGAAGCGCGAAGCGCTGTTTATGACTCAAGGGATTTTGCAGTTTGTTGTGGCCTTATGCATGTTAAAGGCCGAGCACGGCACTTTGCACGCCGTGCAGGTCAGTCAGGCTTTGCGATTTCGGGGTTGCAGGAGTTCGTGTTGAGTGTCCAGCAACGTCCCGCAGCCTTGAGTGAAAACGAGAGTTCGTACTAGGCTGATGCGCGCTCATACAGATCATGCTGCAGGATCATAGGCGGAGATCAGCCCATTCTATTCATGTTCGGACGCCTCTTCAGTTGTGCATCCTCTGAGTCGTAGGATTCAGGTGAAATACGAGCCCATCGGCGACACTGAACTAGCAAAGCACGGAGACGCCTCCGTGGTCACGTTGAGCTTTGGCTTGAGTGTTTGTTGCACGGTGCAAAGCGTTTTGGGATTTCGGGTGTGTATAGGATTCTGGCCCGGTTTATCAGCACCAGTCTATCAAGATTTTGCAGGTGTGGGATGCTGTTCACATCTAATCACCATTTTTGTCCAGCCCTTAACACAACTATTGATTCATGTGACACGTCTGACCCTGTAATGCCAGGGCCTAAACCTTAAGACCCTAGCCCCCCAAACCCTAATATGGGGGGTCGGACTAATTGCCAATAGCAGTCCCTCGAAGTCTCCATAAAATTATTGCATAAACTACACCCAAACCTTATCCAAGAAGAATTACGGCCCCAGTAGACCCTAGAACCCTAAACCCTTGTCACAAGCCCTTAGGAGCTCATAAGGAACCCTTTTCTCATCTTCAAGCCTTGAAGCCTTAAGCCCCAATCAGCTCCGTGCTCTTCTAAGGAATCTCTGCCTGGGCCCCACGCGCTGGGAGGGGGGCGCGCTGCGCTTCTTCGATTCCGGTGGCTCGGGGATCTACGCGCTGCCGAAGGGGACCGTTTGGGACGTGCTATGTGGCCATATGTGGCCTTTTGAAGACTTTGCAGGGGTCTTGCAGTATATTATGGTATAGTTGTAGAGGGGCTGTGAGAGGAGAGGATGGAGCATCTTGTTCAAACCTTGACTCCTAAACCTAAACCTTAGTACATGTCATTTGAATATCATGAGCCCCTAATCCTGCGCCCAAAGCCCAAACCTTTTAGATTCTAGTCACTTGTAAGCAGTAAACACGAATCCCGAGTGCACTCCCCAAACATTATGCTGAAAATGCCTTTCAGGAGTTGTGGTGCTAGACTGAGCTTTAGTGGCTGTGACCCGTAAGCTTATGAGCCCTGGGCCAGACCCGAAAACTGAGATTCTGGGAAACTCCACATAGGCTTGATCCCAAGGCGCCATCTCCGCTTGACTTAAGCACTCCAACCCTTCACGGAAAGCTCATGTCAGAAGCCAATCCTCGAAACCCTGAACTGCCAACTCAAATACCCAGTTTTGCTGTTCAGCTGCCTGCGCTTTGCTTGCCTGGCAGGAATGCCTCGGCAGGCTCTGGCGATGTCAACTTTCGCCCGGGCCAGGTGTTCTTTGGACTTGGAGATTGCGGGTGTAGAGCGTCGGATACTGGGTCGAGCGGACGGCTGGATGTGAGGGTTTGAGGCTATGAGGGGCTGGCGAATCAGGGTCCTTTGAAACTCTAAAGCCCTCAACCCCTATCATTAATTCTATAATCCTTAAGGCCCTGTCCTAAGCCCTTCAGCAGTGCGCGGGTTTCGGGTTTCGGTTCCTGTTTGGACTTCAGCCTTGATTGCCGACGTGTCACGGGCCTATGGGACTTTGCTAGCGCGGTTTCTCCTTTCTGTTCTTCGTGTTGAGCCGAGACAGAGCTGTAGTATCGACTCATGAGTTGCGGATTTCGCAGTTTTCAGGCGCAGGGCTTGGTTTTGAGAAGCTTTGGAGGTTCCGGTGGAGGGCTCGAAATCGTACAGTGTTGGCCTGGCCAGAAATCACACGATGTCCTGCCTAAGATACCCGAAGTGCCCTAGTTGTTGAAGCCGCTCAACATCTTTCGAGTCTTGACCCGGGGCGCAATCATCTGGGTGTTTGAACCCTCCAGGGGTCGCTTGATCCAGCGGTCCACACCCCGAGAGTAGCTCCGGCAAGGCTAATGCCCAAGAAAGGCTTGGGTACCAGACGCCGGAAAGCTAACAAGCCCTAAATCCCACATCACAAGCCTTACTTCCTAAACCTGACTTTGCCCTTGCATGTGGAAGTGTCTGTACGAATGAGAAGCAGGCCAAGTCGAGCAGCCCAGAGTAATTCATCGGTTCAGCGGCAGCTCCGCATACGTTTGGATTCGCTTTCGATTGCGAAAGCTCGAGCTCTCCGTAGTACTGGAGCTGTTGCAGATCAGATCTTTTCAACAACTCTACGACCCTGAGCTCGAACCCTTAAGCTCTCAACCGAACTTCGTCCAGATTGAATCCAGGATGCTTTCCCTTGCTGCCAGTGACGTTTTATTCTGGGAAATTCAGAGAACCATTCCAATATCAAAGACTCATAAAAGAAACTAAGCCCCCCCCAAAATACATTAACTGGGGTCCAAGTAATGTAATGTCATGTAATGTATTATGACTACGGAATCGAACAAGCCCTTCCAAAGCACCAGTTTCAATATTTTGGGCCCCCTATGGTCTACAAGCAATACACTCAAGGCTCATTCACCGCGGTCAGCACAAGCATCAAGCTCTGCCGCTGCTGTCAGGGCAGAGGTCGAACTTGTCTCTTGGCCCAGTTGGTTAAGTTGGTGAACTGTAATAGGGTAACGGCTGCGCGGCTTTCATTGTGGCATTTCGGGTTTAGGTTGTAGCTTTCGGGTCGGGGTGGACTGTTGAGAGCTGTTTTTCATCTCCTGTATAAAATTTCATGTTAGAGAGGAGCATGCCGTAGGTTTCAGGCATGTCGAACTTGAGGGTCCCTAGCACGCAAAGCAACAGCAGTGCCCGATCTCGAAATGCCCGAATCATTGGCACTCCTCACTTCAACTCACCCCCCAACCCCTAAGTTTAAACCGAGAACCCTATATATATATATATATATATATATATATATATATTTATATATGACCCAAGCCAACATGCTACAACGTTCCTCATGTATTTCCCGAGCATTCCGCATGTCGAACGTCGTGCTGTTACGTGCTGGCCAGAGTCCCCAAACCGAGGATTATCTGGCTGCATGCGGAACACGGCGTGGTGCGGGTGGCACACTTAGCATGTTTACATGAGATTGTTGCCAATTCCCGGTTTTCATGCGTTGATGTACCTCATACTTGTCATACTTACCACATGAGAGACCCCAAACTCAGAATGATATCCACATCAAGTCTTATGAGGTTGTGGGGTTGCAGGTTCCTGTCAGGTTTCAGTCGTTTGCAATCTGCGAGTTTGTGCTGACTTATGTATCCTGTGACTCGTGCAGCAGGTTATTAGAATAAAAATGTGGACATGAATGCGGCCAGCGCTGACAACACAAGTGTATGCAACGAATCATTGCGTGACAGCTTGCGGTCGGAGATTCCGTGGCCTTGGCACGGTGGCTGCAGGATAGAGTCTAGAATCCTAGTAGTCTCCGGCGCGCAGTTTCCGGCAGTGATGAGTGTTGTGGGTGCCAGCATCGTGGAGCCAGCCTGGAAGGTGTCCCAGATCTCAACCAGTACCTGCGATGGAGATGAGGTTGAAGGGTCCATGGGACGCGCGATTACGGGCTCTACCGACTGCAGCGAGGATTCCACAAACAGGCATCAGAGGCTTTGGGCTCGTGCGCTGGACTCTCGCTGGAAGTTATCTCGTACAGACTTCAAGGTGAAGAAGGAGCTTAGCAGGACTCTGAAAAGCACATTGTACCAAGCGTCCTGGCATGGTGTCGATGTGGTGGTCAAGTGCGCTGGTTTGCATGATGATGACACGGCCAGACAGCTTCGATCCAATGAGGGTTTGCTTCCACCTAGCGCCTTGCCCGGCGACGCTGACCAGGAGGACAGGGCTATCTCAGATGAGCTCTTGCACGAGATCGATCTCCTGTCGTCGCTTCGGCATCCTGATCTTGTCATGTTCCTTGGGGCTTGCATCGAGCCGCGCATGCCGATCATGTGCGTGACGGAGTTCTTGCCGGGTGGTGACTCTGGGTTGCAGCTATGGAACTTACGTTGAAGTACCAGGAAAGGACACCCTAATTCACGGCAGTGCATCTACTTGATATCCAGCTAGCGGTCACTATACGTAGCTGCAGTTATTCTTCCTCCATATCGCAATTCGGCAGCTTGTGTCTAAGTTCCTCTGGTCCTTACAAACGCAGCCCAGGACTTGGAACGCTACTTCGTGACCCAGCGCAACAAGCATGATTGTGCGATCTGGCGCCCCGCACTCCCTCAGGTGGAAGCTTCGGAAAACAAGCGAACTGCACATGGACCACAACTGTACTAAAGCAGGGTTGCTTTGGAAGGACCCATTAATTACGTAATAGTTTTAAATAGGTACCTTGAGTTCGCTGAAGCACCAGGTTGTTCAGTGGAGTTCCGCTATCGGCCGGGCATTGAGCTTCCTGCACGACCGTGGCGTGGTGCATCGAGATCTGAAGCCACTGAATCTGCTGCTGACCAAGCATTTGGAGATCAAGGTGACTGATTTTGGCATCAGTCGCTTGATGGCTCGGGAGTGCGACGGCTACTCGATGACGGGCGGGATTGGCAGCTATCGCTACATGGCGCCTGAGGTTGTGAGATACCAGGCTTATGACCAGAAGGTGGACATCTATGCGTACGGCCTCATCATGTACTTCATGAGCTCCGGCAGGGCTCCTTTCCACCAGCTGGGCCTCGACCCAGAGGTTATCTTGCAGCAGTACCAGCGAGGAAAGGAGCCGCGGCCCATTCTGCTCGACTGCCCCGCCAAGCTGCGACCCATCATGGCGGCTGCATGGCATGTCACGCCTGCCGAGCGGCCGTCTGCCCAGGATGTGGTGGACAGCTTGGACCTGGTACAAACTTCGGCATCCTGCGTGCCATGTGCTCAGATGTAAAGTCTTCTTCAGGCGTCTACTGTACTGCATGCTTAATTCGGATCACGATGGTCACTATGGCCACTCTGGGAGCATTAGGGTTCGTAGAAACCCCCCTAAGGTTCCCAATCCTGTCTAGCACGGGCGACTGTACTCAGAATGAGGTACAGCCTCCTTTTTTCAAGCATCCCGAGCTCTTAAGTCTCAACTGGAGCCAGGGGGCCCCTATACAGTGTATGACCCAGCCACACTCTTCGAGCCGTCTTCAAGGCGAACAGATAGATGACACTGGGTCATGGCAGCGACAGGTATCGGACATCGGACCTAGACAACTGTCAAGACATTCTGGTCCGTCTCCGATCGAGTTTCAACAGTTTTGTGTAATTCGCCACCCACGCATGTCCCTCCATTGAAGAACTCTTCGAGTGACTGTTCGAGAGTCAAGCAATGTGGGATGGGCCGTACATGTCCCATGTCTGATCGACTGGACCAGGCCAAGAAAAGCATTGCACAGGAGAGCTCGCGAACCTGTTCCTGCTAAACCTTTATAGGGCTTTGACAATAGGGTGTATAGGTTTCACAGGCAATGCAGGGTTTGGCGTTTCGGGTAGCAGCAGCACGCACGACCTGTTTCTCGATTTGGGTGTGATGGTTGCCGTGATTCTTGGAGATTCCGTGGCACCGTGGCTGCAGGACAGAGTCTAGAATCCTAGTAGTCTCCGGCGTGCAAATTCCGGCAGTGATGAGTGTTGTGGGTGCCAGCATCGTGGAGCCAGCCTGGAAGGTGTCCCAGATCTCAACCAGTACCTGCGATGGAGATGAGGTTGAAGGGTCCATGGGACGCGCGATTACGGGCTCTACCGACTGCAGCGAGGATTCCACAAACAGGCATCAGAGGCTTTGGGCTCGTGCGCTGGACTCTCGCTGGAAGTTATCTCGTACAGACTTCAAGGTGAAGAAGGAGCTTAGCAGGACTCTGAAAAGCACATTGTACCAAGCGTCCTGGCATGGTGTCGATGTGGTGGTCAAGTGCGCTGGTTTGCATGATGATGACACGGCCAGACAGCTTCGATCCAATGAGGGTTTGCTTCCACCTAGCGCCTTGCCCGGCGACGCTGACCAGGAGGACAGGGCTATCTCAGATGAGCTCTTGCACGAGATCGATCTCCTGTCGTCGCTTCGGCATCCTGATCTTGTCATGTTCCTTGGGGCTTGCATCGAGCCGCGCATGCCGATCATGTGCGTGACGGAGTTCTTGCCGGGTGGTGACTCTGGGTTGCAGCTATGGAACTTACGTTGAAGTACCAGGAAAGGACACCCTAATTCACGGCAGTGCATCTACTTGATATCCAGCTAGCGGTCACTATACGTAGCTGCAGATAATCTTCACCCATATCGCAATTCGGCAGCTTGTGTCTAAGTTCCTCTGGTCCTTACAAACGCAGCCCAGGACTTGGAACGCTACTTCGTGACCCAGCGCAACAAGCATGATTGTGCGATCTGGCGCCCCGCACTCCCTCAGGTGGAAGCTCCGGAAAACAAGCGAACTGCACATGGACCACAACTGTACTAAAGCAGGGTTGCTTTGGAAGGACCCATTAATTAACGGTTGTAAATAGGTACCTTGAGTTCGCTGAAAGCACCAGGTTGTTCAGTGGAGTTCCGCTATCGGCCGGGCATTGAGCTTCCTGCACGACCGTGGCGTGGTGCATCGAGATCTGAAGCCACTGAATCTGCTGCTGACCAAGCATTTGGAGATCAAGGTGACTGATTTTGGCATCAGTCGCTTGATGGCTCGGGAGTGCGACGGCTACTCGATGACGGGCGGGATTGGCAGCTATCGCTACATGGCGCCTGAGGTTGTGAGATACCAGGCTTATGACCAGAAGGTGGACATCTATGCGTATGGCCTCATCATGTACTTCATGAGCTCCGGCAGGGCTCCTTTCCACCAGCTGGGCCTCGACCCAGAGGTTATCTTGCAGCAGTACCAGCGAGGAAAGGAGCCGCGGCCCATTCTGCTCGACTGCCCCGCCAAGCTGCGACCCATCATGGCGGCTGCATGGCATGTCACGCCTGCCGAGCGGCCGTCTGCCCAGGATGTGGTGGACAGCTTGGACCTGGTACAAACTTCGGCATCCTGCGTGCCATGTGCTCAGATGTAAAGTCTTCTTCAGGCGTGTACTGTACTGCATGCTTAATTCGGATCACGATGGTCACTATGGCCACTCTGGGAGCATTAGGGTTCGTAGAAACCCCCCTAAGGTTCCCAATCCTGTCTAGCACGGGCGACTGTACTCAGAATGAGGTACAGCCTCCTTTTTTCAAGCATCCCGAGCTCTTAAGTCTCAACTGGAGCCAGGGGGCCCCTATACAGTGTATGACCCAGCCACACTCTTCGAGCCGTCTTCAAGGCGAACAGATAGATGACACTGGGTCATGGCAGCGACAGGTATCGGACATCGGACCTAGACAACTGTCAAGACATTCTGGTCCGTCTCCGATCGAGTTTCAACAGTTTTGTGTAATTCGCCACCCACGCATGTCCCTCCATTGAAGAACTCTTCGAGTGACTGTTCGAGAGTCAAGCAATGTGGGATGGGCCGTACATGTCCCATGTCTGATCGACTGGACCAGGCCAAGAAAAGCATTGCACAGGAGAGCTCACGGAACCGTTTCCCCTAAGCACTGCATCGAATTACCAAAAGGTCCTGATGAAAAGTACAGGTGGCGTAGAAACTCTGAGGGGCTTAAAGCACCCTTATGGTACCATATAGACCTCGCCCCATAGTCAAATTTGTTCCGGGAGGTGGCTCCCTATGCCCCGGAGCAGCAGCTGACGCCACAGCAGCGGTGGCAACAGCCTCCGCCTTTTCGGCTCGACCTCTGAGGCTTCCCGGGAAGTGTTTGGGGGGTTTCGGTGTTTTGGGGCTAGGCGCGGTGACTTTCGGGTTTTCGATAGGGTTCTAGTGCTTCGTGGTAAGAGTCTAAAGGACCGTTTAGGAGTACGAATTGGAATAGGTTCCGGCGTTTAGGTTTTGAGTTCTTTGCTGTTGCCAGTGCTGGTTGTGAAAGGGTTTAGGGTTCGGGGGTTTGCTGGTTTGAGTTTTAAGGTTTTGGGGTTCAACTCACTCGGAGGGTTGGGCTTTGGATGTAATGACTTGGTATTACTTTTTGGGTCCAAAGTATCGAATTAGGTGTTTGGATGCCGCGTGACATTAGTTTTGCGGTTGGTGTTGATACAGGATGATACAGGAGGAGATAAAACTCAGACCTTTAAGTGTCACTGAAGCTAGGATCTGAGATCAAGACCCCAAGCCGCAAAACCGTAACGAAATCCAAAACCTTAAACACAAAGGTCTGAGCCCCAGCTCCCAGACCCAAAACAAAATCGGCAGATCCTTGAACTCGAGGCCGGACCACGACATCGAGTATCTGACGCGATCAGTCGGAATAACTCGCAATAGTATCCTCGTACAGTCCTTGCATACCTGAGCAAGAAAGAGGTATACCCCACAAGCCGAGTTTGACAATTTAAGGAACCACTAGTATTTCGGAGTTCAGGCTTTTTAACACCGGATCAGCGATCCTGAGGCCTGCCCATGTTTCAAGATTTCTATGTTGTGGCGGTCCTGAGCTTGCGATTTATACGGGGGGGTGTTACAAGGGGTTAGGGCGTTTATCAGGGCTCCTTTTGAGGTCCTGCACTCGGGCTATATGGCCTCTGGATTCGGGAAACAGAGTCTTGCTTGGGGGCTGTAGGTTTCGGCATCGCTTTATTATTGTGGAGTTCAGGGTTTGAGTGCATGGTTGTGCGATCCAGTCTTCCAGTGTTCTCACCGCGAGTTGCTGTGTCGTAACATCCTGCGATCCCGTATTGTTTGTGTAAGCCGTGCTGGCCTTCAGGTTCACACGTATGACCATAGTTTAACTAGTTAAGCACACCCTGATTTGAAGTCACGCTTCTTCCTGAGTTCCACCCAACGGAGCTCTGCTTGCGTACGGCCGTAGACCCCGAGGCCAGGCCTTACACTGAGAATCTTAACACCCAGGCACCCTTTAACTTGAGAAAACCCTGCATCCTCACCCTTAAACCGCACACCCTCGACCACCACAAGCTTCCTCTAGTTCTACATTGAATTGAATCAATCACCACTAGCAGTCATTGGCACCAGACTTCGTTTCAATAGCTTGCTGAGCCGTTTGAGTGTACAGGCTCATCCGGTGCATTCGCTCAGTGCAGAAAGACAGCCGTTTGAGCATACAGGCTCGTCCAGTGCCATTTGCTCAGTGCAGAAAAGTAGTTGGCTACAAGAGCCTTTGCTGAGCTGGCTGACCACGGGCTGATCCATTAGCCGAACGGTATGTGATTGCAAGAACCCTTGGGGCACAGCCTCCCAAACCCGTAAGTTGTAGATGGCTTACCTAAACCCTTGATCTATACATCCCCGCCCTCGAAACGCCAGAAAGGAGGCTGCAGAAACTTTGGATATCTCTGGAAACATGTAGGACAGCCCACGCGGTCGCAGTTGGCACTGCGCTTGTCGGAGGGGTGTCCAGCAGGTTAGGAATGAGGTTTAGGTTTAGGGCATCGATTTGTTCCACCCACAGCTCAAAATTTCTTTCGCGTGACCTATTGCAGGCCACCGCAAAGCCTGCTGTGGCCTAAACTCGGATCCCGGAACCCGAGAACCTAAAGCTCTAGCGGAAGAAGCGTACATCCTAAAGCCCCATCCCGGAATCCCAAGCCTAGACCCTAATCCCGGATCCAAAGACTCAGATCTCAATCGCCAGGTTTCCGGGTTCAGGATGTAGGGATGGGCTTAGCTTCAACCCGAAACACCAAGCCTGAAATCCCAACCTCCAAAAGCACCCCATATGCCGCTCTGTCTATTTTTGCTCTCAGCTTCCTGCTACCATGGGAACCCTGGTGGGTGGCCCCGGCAAAGCCATGCCAAGGGGCTATGCTTCCTCGACGGCGCGGACCTTAGCAGTTAGGGGATCGAGAAAAAAAGGGTTTACAAATTTAGGGCTTGGTAGTACATTTGCATCTGAAAATACGACTCTCTTGACACCTTCTTATGATAAAAGAAGCCTTTTATAAATCCCTCATGAAGCCAAATATCCATCTAGCGCTGCTCAAGATCTGCAAGAGCTTCATTCTTCCTTTCCTGTCAAGAGGGGCAGCCCCAGGCCGCAAAACCTGGACCCTGAGGTTACAGGAGGGATTCGGCTTCAGCGCTCAGGGTTGAGGAACCCCTTAACCCCTCAAATCCTCTGCGGCCTTCATTCAGCTTGAAATTAGTTTTCCAATCATATACCCCCCGATGGGAATGTCAATGATCTGGGTGATCCACGCGAGGCAGACGCACCCTCACCACGTGAACGGCTCATCATGAAGGCCCCTTTTCAAGGACAAACCTGTGTTTCCGCTTTGCTCGCAGCACCCAAGAAGCTTAACGAAGCTCTTAAAATGTGACAAGTCCTAGAAAATGCCACACACCCAAGTCCCGAACCAGGTAGAACGCTGTGCAACAATCAAAAAAGCGGTAACGCGGGGCCTTGCTGGGGTGTAGGTAACTTGGCTTCTGTGGCATCCTCGAGCTTGAACCTTGCAGCTGGAAGCCCTAATAAAGTCCAATTCCAAAAAGTGCGCGCTCAACAGACAAGACAGCAAACGAGCGTTTACACAGCACCCTTCAATGCCCTGAAATAAATACACCGAAAGCCCTGATTCCCCAACACTGAAAGCCGAAGAAACCAGAAGCAAACCCGAACCCTCGACCCTTCCCTCAATTCAAAACCACCCGAAGCCCTAAGCCCTAAACACGAAGCAAAAGAAACACAACGGGGTGCCGAGGCCTCTGGCTTCGCCATGCCTAAGACGCTGAAGCCCCGGCCAAAGCCGGAAGACATGAGGCGCCTAAGTGGGGATTATTTCAGGGTTCCTTTGAGGGTTCTAGGGGATTTGTAGGGGTTTAGGGTTTAGGATTGGGGTTTAGGGAGTGCCTGGGCAAATGGGGTTTAGGGTGTCTTTTCTGTTTTACTTGTGGCTCCAAATACCTGTGTTTGAAGCTGTTTTAAGGGGTACCTACTGTTGTGTAGGAGTGGTAGAGGTATATATAGTGTATATAGTTTCTATAGAGTGGTAGAAGTGGCTGAGGGGTGTTGGGGGTTAGGTTTTCGGGTGGTTCGGGGCTTAGAGGTTTGCAGGGTTCGCTGTTATCGCCAGCCCATGCAAAAAGGTTCAGCTCTAGCCCCCAACATCCCGCAAGTATGAGTCTTACCATAGAGGTAGATCCACAACCAGGGCTTGGGGTGTTGTGGGCTTCGGAGGTTTGGGGCTTTGGCTTTGGGTTCGAGGGGGGAGGAAGACTCAAAGAATTTGAGAGTTTGTGAATGTTTACGGCTCTATGAAGTACCTGCAGGCCCACCAATCAAAAAACTGTTGCATATGTCTGGCAATTTTGTAAAGTGCATGCAACAGGAAACCGTGATAAAGATCCCTGAGAAGGTAAGCCTGTTGGCTGTCGGGCTGCATCTATAGAGTATGGAGCTGTAGGGCTCCGGGGCTTCAGGATTAGGATTCAGGCTGAAAGGGCATGAGGTTTTGAGAAAGCGCTGAGGTCTTTACAGTTTGTCGTTCCCAAAACCAAACGGGAGTTCTTGGAGCCGCTCCATTTTTAGAGGTTTCGAGCGACAAGACCAGTGACCTGACTGCTTCAATTCACCTTACTGTGTCCAGAGTTTGAAGGCTCGAGGATGATTGCTTTGGGGCTCCGGGCCTAGGGTCCATGAGTCGGATGACCTGCAGCCAGTTGCATTGCTTTAGATCGGCTAGTAATTGGGTGTTTCCGATTTCCTCTACTTCGGACTCAAGCAGAAGCCCAAAAGATCTCGGTGTGTTCACAGCTTGTTGCGGCATTGGGGGTCACATGGGTGGCCAGATATGCGGGTGTGGCGTGTGCACCATGAGTTTTGACAGGGTTCCTCAGTTCCGGGCCCAATCTTCAGAAACCCCAGATTCTGCCCCCTGTGAGGCAGAAGCCTGATCCCGGATCCTTAAATCTTGCGGTTCAAATTCACCCAAGAGCCGAAGAGCCGTTGAGGCCGCTCTTTCTGTACTGGGCAGATGTCACGGAGGCCGTGCTACCAAACCTTCGCCTTTCGGGATTTTGGGGCCACGGGGTCTATGTGGGTTTAGGGTTTTTGGGTGTGTAAGCTTCTGTTTCGTGGAGTTGAGCAGAGAGCTAAGGTTCGGTGCTTCGACGCTGCATCCACCAGAAGCCCTTAAACCTAAACGACCCTTAGCCTTAGCTTTGCAGCGATCAGGTTCTGGGATGGAGGCACCGGGGCTTGAAGGTTTAGGTTTCGGGGTTGGGGATATACTTCTTAGTTAGAGATCTTCTATGAACGAAGCCTGAATCCTGAAAGCCTGCATCCCGAAGCCCCAAAGACCCCAAAAGCCGCGAGCACTAGCCCTCTCATCCTATAAGCTGGGCTTGAAAATTTCCTCCCACCTATGTAGTGAAAGACGTTGGGAGCTGGAGGAAGTGCCTAGGATCTCAGACCTTGCGCAACTATTGATGCCTAAGCCTTAATTCAAGATGCGCTCAGGGAAGAAGGCTTTGGATTTGGGGTATTGGGCTCAGTAAATGGCTTAGGAGATAGAGAGGCTGGGTTTTGCGTCTTTAACAGACGCAGAAGCCATTAGCGAAGTTGCAAAAAAACTTATCCCGATTGGTTCTTCTGCCATATAGTAGTCCATCTGCCCATTTTCGCCATCTTCCATACATTTTGGAGTCCTAAAGTTACCATGCATCTCGAAACCGCTTTGGGGTTCCAAACCCTACGCTACAGCAGCTTGCGATCTCTTAGTTCTATAGGACTTTAAGCCGTTCAGCAGTAACTGAGGTATTGGACCCACAGGTATACTATGCCCAGGGACCCTCATTCTGTAGGGTACACATTACCTCTGGGGCTATGGCCAAGGCAAGTCTGGCGCAGATCGCATCGGTGGAGTCTCACCGGCATGCTGCGGGAGGGCAAGAGAAGCCCTAAGGATCCTACTGAAACCTACAACCTCAAACCTGAAACCCGACACCCCAAGCCCTAAACCCCAAACCTGGAACCGCGAACCCCAGAACCCAGCAGTGTTTCCGATTGAGGGGTTGGAGGATTGAGGTTGTGGATCCAGGTCCAGTTTTGGCCAGGGTTGCAGTTTCCATAGAGTTGTGCGGGTCCAGATTATTCGTGCGCCCTGCATATGGTCTCAGGTGGCGTGGAAACTGTTAGCTGCGACTTCTGAGTCAAGGCTAATTTCAAGCCCTGGAAAGATGTCGAGCGTTGCAAGTCACCTTCACTCACGCCACCTTCAAGCCTGGAAGTCATTCATTCTGTCCAGGCGCTACACAAACAGTGTGTTGTCCAAAGGGAGCCAGTTATCATTGCTTACTTACTACAGTCGCTATAGCCATTACTGCGTTGTTGCTTGCGCACTGCTGCAATTGTACGAACATATTGAGACGTCGTGGACTATGTGGGAGAATCCGCCCTAAGCCGCCCGCACTCCAACCCGAAGCTTGCTGAAACCTCAAAGCCCTAAAGCTGGAAGCCACAACCACATCCCTGAGAGCTCCACACGGCACGCCCTAGCATGCTAAGCTTCAGCCGTAGGATGTGGTCCAAGACCATACTCATAGTCCATAGTCGATTCAGGGTTCGGGGTAAACTTCAACTACTGTGAAGAGTGCTAAGCACCCAGAATTCTGTGAGCATTCCCCCAATCCCTGCCTAGACCTCGACCTCAGCCTTAAACGCAGAGATTTCCATATACACATTATGACACATGCGTGTGTGTGTGTGTCAGTAGTTGGGTCATCGTTTACATGGTATGTAATATATATATATATATATGTAAAAAGATATGTTTATATTTATATACACACACACACATCCCTATACACCTATACACACAGCAAGCACGCCGCCCATCCAGCAAGAACGCAGAAGGCCTAAAACCCTGAACCCCAATCCCTACAAGCTTTGGGGTTTAGGGAAACCTGTGCCTAGCATGGCCAGGACAAAGGCGGAGGTCAGACAGCTGCTGAAGGCCGCGGAGCTTTGAGATTATGTTAACAGGGGCCTTGAGTACAGGTAACCCTTTAAGGGCGTGAAGCTTCTGGGATTTTGCATAGGGCTTACGCGGACTCGTCGTGTCCCTTGCTGGGCAGTGCGCAGGGCGCCGGATGTAAGGGACTGAGAGCTTATCTCTGCTTTGCATCCTTGGGCTTCGAAGCGACAGTCCGACAGCATCCCATCAGGAACGAATTTTGTAGAATGGGTATGCAAGTCGTTGAGAAGCGCTGAGCAGGAGCATGTCTTCAACCTTGTTGCATTCGGCCCAACACAGCCCAACCCCTTAGCCGAAGGGTTGAAGCCAAAACCCTCTTCAGCTCAAAGACGACGGTTCTGATGCCTAGAACCCCCCATTTCAGAAGCAGTTGAAAGGTCGAAGCTCTAATCCCCGAAGTTGCGCAGCTAAGTGGGAGATCCGTCTCGAGGGCTTCGGCAAGAAGCAGTTTGGGGTTTGCATCGGACTGAATATATCATATATTATATATTATATATTATATATTATATATTTTATATGGCTTATAGGGTTTAGGTAGTCTCTCGGAGTTCATCCCAACCTATTGCACTTTCATGCTAACTGACGTTGACTTGACGCCTGGACCAGAGGCGAGTAGTATAAGGAGCCTCAACCTATGCGGATGTTCGTCCACCGATCGCTGCAGGTCTAGTAAGGACTACCTGCGTTCCTATTCCTAGGATGCCCAGTAGTACCCTGGTTCCCTTTTTGTAGTCCTAGGTTCCTTATAAAGACCCAATACCAAAAAGAGAGGCCTTTTTATAATTAGGTTACTGGGTATCCTAGATTCACTATGAGCGAGCTTGAGGTGACGGAGGCACCTGAATAGTTGGTAGGACCATTGCCTCGAGCCCATACTAACTGTATGTAATAAGTACCAAAACGTGTTCTAGGTTTGCATCTAAATACGAAGGCCAAAATACTCTAGACCCCCGACTGGTAATTCCGTTTTCGGCGACGGACATGATAGTAGGGTGCGATGGGGGAGCGGCCTAGACGCGAAACCGTATGCTGGGTTTTGGCACATTGATTCCTGACAGGAGCACATGAAAGTGGATCAACCGGATGAGCTCCGGGCGCGAAGCCTGAGAGTTTAGATGTTGAGGGTGCAGTGGCTATAATGGGTACAATGCTTGAGTTTTTGAGGCCTAGGCTCTGGCCAGTAGTGTCTCTAGTCGTTGAGGGTCTTGGGGTCATTCTGCTTTTGGGGTTTGTGGGACGCCGGAGGGACCTAAGATTTCCGAAGCAAAGCTTTATATACCCTACGCCCCAAGCTCGAAGGATCCTTGCAAGGCCCTTGCGCGTTCTTTCGGGCAATGTCCCTGTCGAGGGTCAGGGATTTCATCTCTTCTCTCAGCAATGGGATTTTCAGGACATAGAAAATCCTTCCAACGGGAGCCTGAAGGAAAAACTGCAAAGCCTAAGTCTGTGTCGAATTATATACGCATATATTTTGGCGCGTTTAGGTGGGACCACTTGTAGATTTTACCCTGCCTCCATTGCTATTCCTATGGTCCTTAGCTATGTCTTTACGCGACCGCGTTTGGCCCAAGTCCCCCGTGGAAAAAGGTCACAAGGGTTGACTGACCGGTAACTAGACGTGCCAAGCTGGTAGCCTGGGAAACTTCAGGTTATCAGCCGTAGTTAGCTCCGTAATGGACATCGTGCCGTTCTCAACGGCAGCGGGCAACAACGGTGACGGTGGTATTGGTGGTAGACAGGAGCAGGAAGCGAACCAGTACTTCTTGCATTTGTTGCAGGAGAATACTCAGGTGAACTTGTTCCTGAATGACCCCCGCATTCAAAGTGCCTTGGAGCTTCGCGCGGAACAACGACATCGATTTGCATTGGACAACGTGTACGCCGAAGCCAACGCATACATTGCACACCTAGAGGCAACAGCGGATGCGAATCATCGTCAACAGCTAGCATTTGTGAGCCAATCCACACACCTGTTGGTGGGACAGCTACACAATGAAGTACGAGTGCTAGAGACAATCGCCCGATCAGAACGACAATCAGCCAATGAGCTGCAGGCACAGCTGGCACGCGCACAAAGGGAAAGTCATGATGAAAGGTCTATGGCCATGCAGTTTGATGCACATCGATCCGAGCTGGAAGCAGCAGCGCGCACGCTCACTGCGGAAAACAGACAGCATGAACGCCGTTTCGCGGAATTGCGATCGAGTATCGAAGAAAACCACAGTGAGATGATTGCCTTTTTAGGGTCTGAGTTTGAGGAAAAGCTTCAATGGGAAGAAAACGAGTACTACCATAGGCTAACCTCTGAGGCACAGCAGTATGATAGCTTGGTTGATGACCTGCAGGACAGGAACGCGGAGCTTATAGCTGAGGTCGACTCACTCAGGACTGTCTTGTCGACAGCGGAGAGTAGCCCACCGCAAGGTGGCGCCGTGCCGGTGAAAGTCGATCCCAGTGAGAGCTCCAAACTTCAACCAAGCCCACCGCAAGGTGGTGCCGCAGCGCCGCTTGTTCAGGGTCCTAGCCATTCATGGATTCCGACCCTTCCGAACCCCAGGGAGATTCCTGTGTCGCTTCGGACGGTTTTGGGAAGGACCCAACGGTATGACATTGGAGAGCCTGAGGATACCAAGGCCCACAATGTAGCGGTATCTGCTGCTGAACAGAGTGATAACAAAGAACCGGCAGAATCTACTGAAAACAAAGAACCTAGCGTACTTCTCGCTGAAGCACTCAAGTCGGTTATCCAGAAGCCTGATGATGACAAACCCAAGGCTAAGGAAGCTGAAACGGTGAAGCTACCCGACTTCCCTAACCCGGAGACTTATAGGAGCTGGAAGATCACAGTTAGGGAGGCCGTTCGGGCAGCATCGGACAGACCCGATGAGGCATTCAAATGGGTTCAAGAGGTTTACTCCAGGGACGCCGATGCGGAGAAGTTGAGGGACACGGGTAAATTCCTCACTTTGGACACGAAGATCCTTTCGGCGCTCTCGAGGGTTGCTAGGGGTGATCTTGGACGACAGATCATTAACTACAAGGAGTCTGAGGCAGCTGCTGGTAGGGCCGTTCGTGGTAGACAGGTTCTACTGATGTTCGAACACTACTTTAAGACCAACGAAGAAGCAGGCTCCCTCTACTCTGTAGAAGATCTACTCAAGGTGCAGTTGAATGGTGATGACCTTAGCACTTTCATTCACAACTGGGAGTCGGTCATCGCAGGGTTGAATCACCAACCCGAGGAGACTACGCTGAGAGATATTCTACTTCGTCAGCTTCGCAATGCTAGCAAGCTCAAGTTTGATCTGGAGGTTTACGACAGGGCTAAGGAAGGAACAGAGCAACGCACTTACGACTACTTGGTCAAATGCGTGAAAGAGCTATTGGCTAGAGATAGGACTCGCAAAAACCGCACAGCAATCGCCAAAGCTCACGGCGCCAGATTTGGTGCCCCTGCTCCTTCCGATACCCCGAACACCCCTCGCGGCCGAAGCCAGGACAAGCCCTGCTACGCTTTCCAGCGTGGGAAGTGCCCACGAGGTGATAAGTGCCCATACAAGCATGTGAAGCCTACTCCTGAACAGACAAGGGGCAGAACACCTCCACGTACCCCTTCGAGAAAAGGTGGAGGTAAAGGCGGTAAAGGTGGGGAGAAGAAGGATACCTCCAAGATTCCTTGCATCTTTTACCCCAAAGGCACCTGCAAGAACGGTAAGAATTGCCCATTCATGCACAAGGATGCCGCTCCCTCTGTCCCGGCCAAAGGCGATAAGGCTGGCAAGGACGGGAAGAGATCGCCTTCCGGCAAGCGCAGGCGACCCAGTAAGAAAAGGCCAAAGAGTGAGGACAAGCCAGCCGCTTGCTGTCTTTCCCTCACAGCCACCCTCACGGGTGAGCCACCGGCCGATGCTGTGAAGACCTACGCAGTAGCAGCCCGCAAGGGCCCTGCCGGAAAGCCCCGAAGCAGGAAAGTCCAGTTCCTAAGGCCAGAAATCATTGACATCCCGCCTGAGGGTGAAGGCTGGAGCTTCGTACCAGACAAGCACAAGTTCGAATTCAGGTACAAGTCTGCGGAGCTATGCCCACCATCAATTCCAGAGGACACCGAAGAAGCTTTGCAGAATGCCCGTCACTTGGAATCAGCAGTGAACGGGATGAAGCTTAAGGTTCGGGTCAAGTGTAACTACAGGTGTCGGGGTAGAGAAGGATTCTGCATCCATTGCAAAGAAGCAATTCCCCTGCCCCAACTTGCTGCAGCGGCGGTGACAGGTGAGAACCTTGAAATCATCGCAGACACCGGTAGCGAGGAAGATCTGATTAGTCACTCTGATTTGGAGGCCCATTTCAAGGGCAAGGCTAAGAAGGTTGCTTCCGACCCAGTGAGTTTGATCACTGCTAACGGACCAGTAGACGCTGATACCAAGCATGAGGTCTACATTGAGTCATTGAGGAACCCATTGCAGTTCGTTGAGCTCCCCAACACACCTGCAGTTTGCTCTGTAGGAAAGAAGTGCATGGAACAGGGGTTCTCTTTCCACTGGCCAGCGGGTGAGGCGCCATATTTCATTTGCCCAGACGGTCAGAAGATGATTTGCCAACTCCGAGGCAATGTCCCCGTATTTGGCGACCGAGGACCATTGATGGCATGCTTAGCAGCAAAGTCCTCAGAATCTGATGGCAGCAAGGTTGCACCGACCTCTGTCAAGTCTGGTTCGGGTTTTCGGTAAACAGCTGCCCGCAAGGGCACGCCGCACCAGCTAAGGGAGAGCACGAACACGAACCTGAAGGTCCAGCTGGCGCGGCAGAAGATCCCATCGAAAAGATGGCGAATTGCATTCCACCCATTCCTGGGGTGGAAACGAGGCAACTGCTAAAGGCAGGTTGGACTGTCATCAACGGCAGCCCCGCTGCTAAGGTGGCACATTTCCCAAAGACGTTTCGAACACCGGCTCCTAAGTTCCCGAGGTATAGAATCCGGACTACTTGGGGATTCAAGGATGACGTGTGGTCTTTGTTGGAGGATTCGGTCAACATTGACGAATTGGACGGAATCTATGGGGAAGTACCTGAAGGGACTATTGCGACTATCACATTGTTTGCTTTGCCTGAAGGGGAAGTTGAGGCGCAAGCCGACAGCGATGTCGAGCCATACACAATGCCAAAGTCTAAGAAGGATGAAGCTTCCTTGAGGGCTGAGGCTGTGTCTTTGGAACATCGACTTACCCATAGACCAAAGAATCCGTTCTGCCCCATTTGCCAAAGGGCCAAGATGTATGCGCCCCAGGCGCGTAAATCTGGTGGATCCTCTACAATCTACAGTAAATCGTTCGGTGACCACATCACAGTAGATCACATCGTGACCGCTGATGCCAAGGATTACGGGTTCCAAGATGAAACCGTGGCTCATGTTGTGAAGGACGTGTATTCTAAGTTTAGATACGTGTACCCTTCCAAGACAAAGTCTGGTGAGCAGTGCTACGAAGACATGTTGCACTTCCTTGGTACAGATGATGAGGTAAAGGTTATATATTCCGACAATGCGTTGGAGTTTGACTTTGCGGCCAGACAGCTTCGCGCTCGTCACAACACTTCTAGAGAGTATGTGAACGAAAACAAGGCCGTAATCGAGCGAGAAATCAGAACAATTTTGGAAGGCACACGGGCCAATCTAGTGCAATCAGGACTTCCAGATCGCTATTGGCCTCTTGCATCGCAACATCATGCTATGTGTCTTAACATCACTGCGAGGATTGACAATGGTCAGATTCCGTGGGAAATCAGGTACGGTGAAAAGTTCAACGGCATGCGCATTCCCTTTGGAGCGAAAGTCCTCTACTGGGCCCCGAAGAAGCAACGCAAGCCTGAACGATCCAAGTTTGCTGGCACAGGGATTGAAGGTATATTCCTTGGGTACCACATCCAACCTGGTTTTATCTTCAAGCTTGAGTACGTTGTTGCTCCCCTACACAACATCGAAGCCGCGTTGGAAAACGAAGATCTACGTGTGTTTCGGACTAAGAGACTGGAGCTACCAGATGGTGACTTTAAGTTTCCTTTGTTGCAAGAGCCTGCCTTGGATAAACCACCAAGCCTTGATGCACAACATCACAATGTCCTTGATGAGCAAAACCCGCATCCTCCTCTGGAGGAAGGGGGGGGATACGATGAAGCCACAATTCAGGAACAACTTAGCGAAGACCTGGATGAAATGTTCCCAGAGCTATTTGGTCCTGATCGTGATAAAGATCCTCCGCCGAAGGACGCGAAAGAAGCCACCCGCAAGGGTGAGTCAAAGTCTGATTCCCGTGCAGCATTGCTTGATGATGTTCCGTTCTCTGTGAAGCAGAAGCTGAAGTCCAGCGCAGCAGTAGCAGCGCAAGAACCACCGTATGGTTATACGTGGAGTGGGGAATGTTTGGTCAAGAAGAACAACAAGAACCGCCCTAACGCTATTGATCATACTGCATGGAAGGCTATGTCGAAAAGACAAAGAGCAACAGCAATTGCAGAACATGAGAAGAAGCTACATGAGGAGAATGAGGCACTGTATCGTGAAGCTGTAAAGGCGGTACCTGCAATGCCAGTCCTACATGGGTGTAGCGAGGAACATCGGGAACGACTCAAAGGGCTATATGACAAGAAGCTTTTTCAGATCGCAGATGAGATGTATGCTGTTGTCGCCAAGGTCCTGTCGTCTAAGGAGATTGCAACAAACCCTAAGGCGCAGGCTGCCATGGACAAAGAATGGCAGAAATTGGTTGACAAGGGCTGCTGGGTACAAGGCAAAGTCAGGGAGTTCGAGTCGGTTGCCAACGAAGCTAAGAAATCTCAAACCAAGGTTCACTTTGGCAATGTTTTCGAGATTGGTACCCTAAAGGGAGCCGAGCTGAAAGAAGGCGACCCCAACCGTAAGTATAAGGGACGTTCGGTATTTCAGGGAAATAAAGTACTTGATGAAAACGCCGATCACGCGCTCTTTGCGGAGATGTCAAGCAGTCCTGCATCTATGGAAGCAGGAAAGATTCTTGACGTCTTTGGCTCACAACCTGGCTACATCATCCAGCAGGCCGACGCCAAGCAAGCATACACCCAAGCTTTGTTCCAAGGGGTTGCCACTTGGGTACGGTTGCCTCGCAATCGCTGGCCTAAGGCATGGCAGGGCATGAAAGATCCTGTTGTTCCACTCAAGTTGGCACTTTACGGACACCCCGATTCAGGGGGGATTTGGGAACATCATTGCGAAGCTGAGTTGAAGAAAGTCGGGTTCGAGGCAGTATTGACTGACATTTGGAAGAGTGTATTCTACCACCCGAAGAAGAAGCTGCTTTTAGTGGTATACGTCGATGACTTTAAACTCGCTGGCCCTAAGAACTCTATCAAGGAGGGATGGGACTTGATCTCGAGCGTCATTGATATGGATCTTCCGGAAGCCATTGGTAGATACTTTGGGTGCATGCACAAGGAAGAACACAACCTCAAGCTGCCCAAGGAAGCACACCCTTTTCGTCACGTGTTTGAGCCCGAATCATCAGCTGCAACTCCTGCTAGAAAAGAAGACTATTGGGACATTGACCCCGAGAATCTCATAGCAATCCGACATCACCGTTATCCTCGCAAAAGACTTTATGTCCCCAACGAGGATGATGCTAGAATGTTCCCGGGGATTGGCCCTCGGAGATACACTGTGGTGGCTAAAGCCACCCGCAAGGGTGAGTCGGAGGAAGTTGTTGTTGACAGTTGCAATCAAATGCGCGATCGCTGTCTTCAGGATTGGTGGGACGGCGAAACCTACTTCGACCTCGCAGGCCGGGAACAGTCTGATTTCGAGCTGGCAGTTGCAGCTGCCCGCAAGGGCAAGCCGGTTCGTAACAAGTCTGAGGCTAAAAAGGAGGCGAAGCAGAGCAAGTTTGTTACATTGTCGCAAGACGTTAAAGAGAAGCCCGGCGCAATGACCAAGCCAGTCACTCGCATCACGTACGATATGAAGGACTTTCTCGACTCTTGCGTTGATCGGTACTGCGAGCTTGCTAAGGTAGAGCGTAAGACCCTGAAACCAGCTGCGACCCCCTTCCATGAGCTACGTGTGGCTTTGCCAACAGCTTCCGAAGGAGAGAAGGCAGGGCGTTTGCAACCTATTGCTAGTAAGGTACTAATGAAGATTTTGTTCGCTGCTCGCATGGCCAGATGGGACCTTCTAAGGGCAACACAGTCTTTAGCGTCGAGGGTGACCAAGTGGAGCCCAGATTGCGACTTGGGACTTCACAGGTTGGTTTGCTACATCAACTCTTCGCTTGATGTCACTATGAGCGGTTTCATAGGCGACAGCATAATGGATTGCAGACTGTGGTTGTTCAGCGATTCCGACTTTGCGGGCGAATTCGATTCAAAATCGACTACAGGATGTGCGATGTTTTTGGTTGGACCGAACACGTACTTTCCCCTCAATGCCTTCAGCAAGAAACAAACATCTATTACAATGAGCTCTACTGAGTCCGAAGTTGTAGCAGCGAATCACGGTTTACGTGCCGAAGGTCTACCTTGCCTGAGCTTGTGGTATTTCCTATGGCGTGGAGATGCCGGCCGCAAGGCCGAGCCAAGGGCTGAGAGGGTGGATTCGATAGTTGCACGCATTGACCCTGAGCTTGACGAAATTCGTTATGGGTCCACTAGACCGGATGGGTTGTCAATCGCAGACATCAACGGCCTCTGTGTCCAGCTTCCTGAAAGTTTCGAGGTTAGACATATGGAGGATAACCAGGCGACAATCACTCTTTTGTTGCTAGGGCAAGCTGGTGTTCTACGACATACTGATCGGACACAGAGGGTGAGTTTCTCATGGCTAAAGCAGCAATATGAGGTTGGGCATTTCAAGTTACTGAATGTTGGTACAGCCGAACAAGTGGCGGATGTGTTCACGAAGCCTTTCACTGAAAAGAACAAGTGGACGCATGCCTTGAAGCTTATTGGACATACAACCAGCGCGAACGCAGCCGGGTGCAAACCCGAGTCGAAGGTCGAGGTTGACAACAAGGTTTCGGTAGCAGCAGCTCCGGAAGCATCAAAGGTTGTCGAGGACTTCGCTCAACAATCGTTCGAGGCTAACGATTACAGCTTCAAGACCTTCGAAAAGCTAGCTGGGCTTATTCGTACCAATCTCAAGGCATCATTGGCAAAACCGCGAGCATTGATGGCTTCTGAGAACCCATCCAAATACTTGGTGTTCGGCGCTTGGGTCCATGGTGGGTGCTTTGGTATTACCAATCGCACAAAACATTATCCATGGATTTGCAGGTATGTGAATGGATTTGTTAAGCAATCATCTCCGAAAGGGTTTACATGGACTTCGTTCGTGTTCAACTTCAATGGCAAGGCCCGCATCCACACGGATAAGTACAATCAGAAAGAATCGTACAACCTGACGTTCTCCTTCGGTAACTATACAGGGGGGACACTGTGGATTGAGGGCGCGAGCCAGTTGGGACCACCGGGAATATACACAGATGATCATGGCAAAGACCACAAAGGCTACAATTGCAACACATACCGCAAGCCCACTCTGTTGCATCCATCGACAAAACATGGTGTACAACCCTACACTGGCGAACGACATTCCTTCATCGCCTACTCTTCAGGGGGGTACCAGAAGTTCAACAAAAAGCAAAAACAATTCCTACATCAAGCGCAGTTCCTCTTGCCTACGGCTCAGTTGAAGCTCCCAGCTCAGAATGCAATGGTTTGTTTGAGGTGTGTTGGTTCCCCTCTCGATGAGGGGGGTAGGCTTAACAAACCGTATTCTCGTTTCGAAAATGATTCGTTTGCACACACATCGCTCGAGTGCACAAACACACAACAAACTGCAAGCCTTGACCATGAAATCTTGGCTTTCTTTATGTGCACGCCTGCCATTGCAATTTCAGCTGGTTCTGATCTTCTCGACTTGCCCGAAGCGACTTCTACGATCCCCAAGATGGCAGCCATCGTTGTGAGCGACGAGTTCTGCAGGGTCAACACCTCCGAAGCAGACAGGAATGGGGTTACCAAGGCCATGAAAACCATTCTCCAATCCGCCGCCCTCAACAACGATATCATTTCGCTCGGCGCCGATCATGAGAGTCAGCTCTTGGAGTCGGCGTACAGCTGCGTATCCACACAGTGCGCGGCTGGGGTATCCTTGACCCATGCCGACGCAACCACTGTGGCTCTGCGCCAGATGGCTGACCTCAGTGACGAGGGACTCGCCAAGTTGAAGCCAACCGCAAGGTTGAGCCCCAAGGCCAAGCGAGCCATCATAGTCGTGTCAGACAGCTCCACTGCACTTTGCAAGAAGAACAGGCGGGGAGTGTTCGTTAAGGCCGACTTGGATGCGGAAGTGAACATCGCAAGCTTTACGCTGGGATGGGCGCAGACTCGCTATACCATGTGTTGGGGTAAAACCTTGGCGTGGATTGTCTGGCAGGTCGAGGAGCATGTGAAGGAGCTCAGGAGCAACTATCCGGACCACACCATCGACATAATCTGCTGGTGGTGCGGGAACGAGATCTCCGGCCAGTGGGGCTGCATCCCCACGCGGCTAGGACCGGGACTCGCCTACAGAGATCCCAATGTCACAACGGAGACCGTCGCACGGAAAGTGAGAAGGGCAGCGGATGTTTTAGCCGCCCTCGCGGGCGAGCCGGACATTGGTTTTGTGAAGGTGATTGGGCAGGTGGAGGCGGACTTGTTCCAACTCCACTCAGCCTATAACGACTTCAATGCCGCTATGTTCGAAGAGTTCAGGCAGCGCGGTCTGCAAGTGCAAACCGCAAGCTCCTTGGTCGAAAAGCTGGAAATGTATGACAGCTTTCACGCCAGCGAAGACCCTCGCAACCGCGAGTTATTCCAGACCTACTTGCATGCGACTATCAATGCAAGCAGGAGCGAATGGCTTGCCCAGAAGATGGCACCCTGTGTCAGGGCTTTGCTTGTTCGCTATGAGCACTTTGAGACTGGCTCCGATGCCAACAATCCAGTGCTCGAGGATGTCTTCAAGCAGTGGCGTGCAGAGAAGGACCAGCTGATGAACCCGAAACAGGCCAAGCCAATGCCGGTCACCCAGGAGGACAAGATGTGGGAAGCCCCAGATGCCGCTGACGCAATCGACGTCAATAAGATCTCCGAGGGGCCACCCATGGATAAAGCCATCCGCAAGGATGTGCCAAGGATCGGTGCAACCACGGACGTTAGTGCTGTGGCGGAATGCGTCCATGACATCGTTACCCAGGACGCAGACGGCAAGGTGTCCTACAACACCCCGGGCACGGTGGAGCTGGTGGACGAGGGCGACCAGATCGACCCTATCCCCTCATCGATTGGACGTGTTGTTGAGCCAGCGCCTCCGAAGAAGACTAAGAAGTCTGATCGAGACGAGGATGCCATGCGTAGGCTCATGTTCATCGATGAAAGCGCCCCGCAAGGGGCTGCCACTGTGCCAGAGCTTCCAAATGAGTACTTCTACAATGGCAAGAAGCACTTGATGAAGCCCTTCAACCCGGAGGACATTGTAGGAGACAGGCACGTGACATTCAAACACGGAGACCTGAAGTTTCTCACCAAGCTGCTGCGTGGCCATGAAATGGACAGCTTCCCTTCATTGATCTTTGACCGTGGGTGCTGGACAGACGTTGACACTCTGCTCCAGGTCTTCAACACGGCACGAGGCGCACGCTGGGGTGTGAGGCAGCTGCTACGCGCAGCGAAAGCCGATAATAAGGGACGGATCAGACTTTTGGGTATTGACGTGCCAATGAAGGACACCCTGGGTCAGCCGCTATTCCCTGTCAGAGTGAGGATGGCCCAAGGGCATAACTCCAAGCTCATCGGCAATAACCCGGACGCGGACTTCTTCCTTGCGACCAGGTTCTACAGTGGATTGTCCGGGTACGAGGCCGACCTGCAGAGCAGCGTCAGGGGGGTCACTGTGCTCTCCCGCGAGGATACCCCCCCAAAGCTCTTCCACCGCACGAATGAAAAGGGAATGAAGGGTATCCTCCGCGATGGAATGATCGCCGGCTCCGCGAGGTCAGACAGGTCCCACAACTACCTGTCCCCGTACAAGTTGGACGACACCCACTACAAGAGTGGAATGCGCTCCAATCAGCCGATCGAGTTGACGATAGACACACAGCGAGCAATCGCCGCTGGATGCGTTTTCTTCGTCACTGAGACCGACGGCGTCCTCACACGGGACAATGTGCCTCCCGATTGCGTGCTCTCCGCCATCGACACCAGCAAAAAGAACCTCCCGCTCTATGTCGCCGAGCACAAGGAAGCCACCCGCGAGGGTGAGCCAGAGCGCATTTTCCGTGCAAAGCGCGACTATGAGGAGGCCGCAGCAGCAAGCTCATCATCGGCACCGCCCCCAAAACAGGCGGCTATCGCTCCCAAAGCGATTGCTTCAAAGAAGATGCCGAAGGTGGTTCCCAAGCCCGCCGCAATCGCCGAAAAGGACGAAAGCATGGACTTGGATGAAGCCACCCGCGAGGGTGAGCCTGCTGATGCTGCTGGTGCATTCGACCTTGACGAAACCAAGGTTGAGGTTGAGGTTGAAGTCGATGAAGGCGATACAACGGATGCGGGTGAGGATGAGCCGTACCCACTTGGCTCTCACCCATGCCGCGAGTGTGCAGCAGTCGTTGCCAATGGCATGCTGTTCTGCCTCCGTTGCAAGGCTCCCCAGACGGATGACTCCAAGAAAATCACAAAGCGAGTCTTTGAGAATTCGAGACTCCGCAAGCGCCTTCTTGCCACCGCTGCGACTGGAGCCCAGAAGCCCATCGATGATCTCCTCGCGAGTGACCTTCGAGGCCTGGGCGAAGGACCAAAGAAACGTGGTCAGATGAGCGCGGAGGCCGCCGCCATTCGTGACGCCAAAGACCGAAAGATCAGGGCCGCCAAGTTGAACTTTGACACCGTGTCCGACCGCTTCGAGAAGGACGCGCAGTTCAACGTGAGGATGATGCAAGAGGGCCGCAGCCTTGAGGACATGCAGAAATTCGATCACCTGTCGAACGCTGTGCTTCCCGATCCAGGACGCAGTGAGGAGCAGCGCTACTTGCGTGCTGGCTCCCATTATGGTGGTGGCAATGTCCCGCCTGCGAAGCTGGTCTATTATGCCCACTGCGAAGTGGAGCCGTTGAGGAACTTGCGGTTTATCGATGATACCGCGGATGTCCCCATCGGCTTGACCTACCTCGGTGCATTCCTCCCTCCGCGACTCTATGCTGAGGTGGCAGCAGTGAACGATGCTGCGAAAAGGATCCTGACCTTCGACGGCGAAGTCTATGTGTCGGCTACCACAATTGAAGGCATCACAACTGAGATCGGACAGATTCTTACCGATAGCCTCCGTAGTGCTCAGGACCAGACAGACCAAACGGAACGTCTGGCAGAGCGCAATCGCCAGGCTGCAGTCCAGAACCGCCCATCCCAAAAGGGACGTGGTCGCACGACAGCACCTGAGCCCATGTACAGAGGCTATACTCAGGCCCAGTGGGACGAGTACTATCGCCAGCGTCGTGGAGGTTACACTCAGGCCGAGTGGGATGCATGGAACCGCACCCATAGGCGCTGAGTCCTCATTCTGATTTGCTTCGGACCTGCAGGGCTTCCCCGTTGTGCTTTATAAATGCTCGCTTTGGCAAATTCCCAAATCCGTTGAAGCCCAGGGCAACCTGGAGCCATGTACGATCCGCCTTAGCTCGAGCAGCACGGCGAGGGGGGTGTAGATTTTACCCTGCCTCCATTGCTATTCCTATGGTCCTTAGCTATGTCTTTACGCGACCGCGTTTGGCCCAAGTCCCCCGTGGAAAAAGGTCACAAGGGTTGACTGACCGGTAACTAGACGTGCCAAGCTGGTAGCCTGGGAAACTTCACCACTTGGGTCTGGGCATTTAAGGGTTTAAGTTGGCTTGAAGGCATTCAACGTTTGGGACGTGGATCTCTTGGCTTTGCTTCAAGTTTCTTTCTGCTGCGTTGAGGGGGTTCTGCAGGGTTCAGGTTTGCCAAAATTTCTTGGGAGGGTGCTCCGGGGTTGTGAACCTTTTGCTTGGGACTCTGCTGCTTTCGGGGGTTCTTTTGGGGGGGTTCAAAGTCGTACGAGATTTCTAGTGATTCTAGTGGTTTGCTGTTTTATTCCTTAATGGCTAAAGCTTCAGAGCGGGTTTAGGATTAGGGCATCCAGACGAGTTTGAAGTTTGTGGTTTGGGGCCAGAGCTTGGTCATGCCCTTGCCTCGTGCACTTAGGGAGGTTGTGAAGAGGTATGGCTGCGTCAAGCTGTCCTAGGGCAAGATGTGTTCGGCATTCAATTCAGGGCCACGAGACCAGGGGCATGACTTGGAGAGCCATGTTCGGGATGTAGAGCTTTGAGGGTTTGGGTTTAAGGTCTGTTGGGCCCAGGTGCGGCCGTTGCAACAAAGGCACAGGCAAGTAGACTGCCGCAACGAGGCTGAAGTGCTGACGGACATGCACTACCACAACTACTCTTTCTGCGTGTAAGACACCGCCTCTTGAACTTGTCGGTTTCGTGTTGGGGGCTTGAGGGTTCGTGGTTTATGGAGGGTTCCATATATATATATATATATATATATATGTAGGCTTTTATGTCTAGAATGTTAAACAATATTTGGTTGCGCTTTCAAGGCTTCTGTGCTTGCGCATTGGATTAAGGGCTTCTGTAGCACTGAAAGCGAGGCAGTTATAGGACCAGGCAGGGTTATTCGCCATGTGCACGCTCGTCAGAACGGACAGCTCAAAATCTGCGCTGGTGATGTTTTTGTTTGTTTTTGTTCTCACGTGGTCGCTATATTTGCTTGGTGTACCTTGAGTATTGGACGTGCTGCACCGTCGTTTTTTCATTGGCATTCAGCTTGGAAGTCCGTCCGAGCCGGTGAACAGAGTAATGGAAGGCCATTCCACTGCACAGTTTTCACGTTGACATGAGTTCGATAGACAACAGATAGACATCGATGTGGAAAGAGTGTTTTCCTCACAGGCATCGAGGCTAATAGGAATGACTCGTGACGCTTTTAAGCACCCTAGGTTTAGCGGCAAGGCCTGCCCAGATGTAATCCACAACATTAACCTGAAACCGCGACATCTAGAACCCAAAGTTCTAAGCCCCACAGCCCCATGTTACTCGAATCGTCACCTTCAAGGTGTGAAGATCGTGTGGACCCGACTAGTTAAAGGGTCTCAGCTCCAGTTTGAGACTCACTTTGTGCGCGCTCGCCGGCCTCACCTTTTGGCTGTGCCGCTGCCTTGAACCATGTGATTGAAGGCACACTTTCGAACCTTGAAGTTGCCGTCAGAAGCTTTGAGGCCTCTCTGGGCTATTGTGTATTTTCATACAACCCCGACGTTCTAGTGGAGGGCTGAGAGGTTCTGTGAAGGGTCAAAGGCTTCAGGGTTTATAGAGCTGAAGGTTTAACCTCCAGTGTCCTTGGGGTTTGGAGGAAGAGCCGCATTAACCAATTTCTTAGCCCCAAGATCTCCGAAGAACTGGGCTTGACATGTCAGCTCCGGTGTGACGCTTGGAGGCCGCTGCCGTGCGAGTGGCAGAGGAAGTTTGGATTTAGGGTTTAGAGCATATAGGTTTTATAAGGGCTGATTAGATCGGAGAAATACACCAGTCAATTGTAAGTACCTCACACTGTTCTTTGCTTGCATCCAGCTGGTGCATCAATTGCTCGGCACGGCTTCTCCGGCTTGCTGCTGATGTGTCGCAGTGTGATGCTCGAGGCTCTTGAGCATCAGTACATCTTGCGTTTATGTGGAAGTAAGCTCTCCACAAAGCTGCAGAGTCGGCTGATCTACAGGGACACTAGTATTCCGAAGCACCCATGGCATCAAGCGACCAGGAGACCCCGGGTAGCTGAGGCTACAGATGCAGTGGTAGATTAGAGGGGTTTGCGAGTGTCGTTCCAATGTCGGAAGGGCAGAGTCTGGAAGTACTGGAGGAAAGGTAAGGGGTCAGGTGTGCTAGAAAGCTTTGGCGTACTCTGAAGCACTCTCTATGTACTGCAGTTACGCGACATCGGCAGGATCATCAGGTCGGGTGATGTCGCACGCCACAGGCATTGTGTTGCCGGGGGGGAGGGGTTCTCGCACTGGAGGAGAATGGTGATGATGACCGTGACTTCGACGACAGCAGCGACACCGCTCAAAAAGATCTGCAGGGTTTGATGGTGGCAGCGGGAACGAAGGTGCGTTGCAACTGGCTTGACCCGTCGAAGGAGAGCGAGCCGATGGATTTTTCTGCCAAGAAGGCCAAAGTCGATGCGGAGGAGGGTGAGCCGGCGGTCTTCGCGCAGCTTCTTGCTGCCGCCAAAACCTGCGAACGTTTTCAAGTCAAAGGCCCCGTACGGGTTGGGATCGCAAGCAGATATCCCGAAGTGCCGGAGCGCCATGCAGCGATCCTGCGGGCAGTCTCAGAGTCTCTGATGAATCGATTGGTGGTGCTGCGTGTTGACAACTTCCCTGGCTCTGGAGATCCTGTGTTTGGCACCAAGCACGAGCTTCGAAGGAGCTTCCGGGCACCTGATTTCTTTGCGAAGCTTACAGCTGGCCTCAAGGGCACCTCTGGCTCTGGCCTCAAGAAGATGACGCTGCAAGGCGGCTTCCACTCGGCTGCATCAGTCTGCAACTTCTTGCAGGTGGTCAAGCCGCAGCTCGAATCCTTCCGCTGCCGGAGGTGCCTCTTTCATGGCCGGAACTTCGAGATGCTGGTAAAGGCCTTAAGCATCGCAAGCCAGAACAGTCTCCTAGAGTTTGAGACAGATGCAGCCATCGGCGGCAAGGATCCCTTGGGACTTTTGGCTGACTCTTTCCCAAACCTCAGGATGCTTCGAGCCAAGTACATGTTTGGAAAGGCGGACCACCTTCAATCCCTGAGCCGGCTCACGCAGCTTTGTAGGGAGCAGTGTGTTTTGCCGAAAGACGACTACCGACTGTTTGGGTGCCCGGCCGTGGACGCTAAGATAGGCATCGTCTACTGGTTTATCACCTCCGAGCACCACGACGACGGCTACTTTGGAGAGGGCCTGTGGTGGGACGAGCTTAAGAACACGAGGCTGTGCATGGTGCAGTGGGCCGTCGGAAAGGGCGTAACCAAGGAGAAGTGCCTAGACTTCATGAAAGACTGCGGCATCGAGCTGGACGACAACATAGACGACGACGACTGCCACATGCTGGCCGATGAGAAGCATAGTGACGTCGACTCGGAGGTTGACCAGGCACTTGTCGCTGGCGTCTTTTCATGTCGATGTGAACACACAAGTAACCTCCTCTCCCCTCTCCCTGTCTCCCACTCTCGCCGTGCATGTAGAGGACACGATCGCCGTGCAGCTAGAAGTTGATGACTCTGTGGGCTTCGGCAATTTGACGATCAAGGCACGTACGATGGATGGTCGCGAGTTCGCACAAGTGACTCTGGATGCCAACAAGACACTCGTGCGCACACTTGTCGATGAGTTGGCCTCAAAGTATCCCTGCTCGCCCCTCGCTATGCGACTGGTGTTGCCAACTGGCACTTGCATCGATGCTCTCGAAACAGCAAGCAAGCCTTTAGCAGCGGCTTTGGTATGAAGGCGAAGACGATGACATCAGGCGCCATCCGTTTGTGGAGGTCAAGCAGCACCGCCTCCGGATCGCTTGATTTGACTGCTAGTACTTGACTGAGCAACGCCAGTATTTTTTCATTTTTTGCTAGCAATCCCAGTCTGTGAGTCAAACAACTTTCATGTATTGCATGTCCATTGTCGGTGCTTGGTCGAGCAGCGATTTTAGTCAAAGAAGTGCAATCTTCCAAGCTCTTTCGGGTGCGCTCGCAGGCAACCAATCTTGTATAAGCCTGCCATGTATTACTAGAGACCGTGACAGGCAACGCATGTAGTGAGGCATCCGACGTCACAAGAGTTTCCAATCTACACAGGGACTCCAGGGACACGCTGAATATATGCGTCAACCTCAGGTACAGTTCCTTGCGACACGTGCCTCGCAGCTTAATCCTGTGGCTTGACCGACATCCTACTAAAGCCCCAGCCGCAAAGCGTAAACCATATGAGCCCTATGAGCCTTCTGAGCCCGAAGCCCAAACTGTACACGCTCAAAGCTAGAAACCGATAGACCTTAACGCTGCAAGTTCTTAGCCCTGAGCGTTAGAAAACCCGAACCCGAGGCCCTGAACTGTAAGAACCCAAACCCCGACCCTTGGCAAGCCAAGCTTGAAGCCCAGAACCTCAATCGCAACGCCCTGCAGACCCTGCAACCCTAACCAGAATGCCCGAGACCCTAAACTCCCTAAACTCTGAACCCCAAGTTCTATACCCCCAACCTTGCAACACGAAGCACTCACAGCCCAAACTCAAGTTGCTCTGTGAGGCCGCATGTCGACAGGCTGCTGCTGAGAATTTCGGCGAATGGATGGCACAGGCCTGGGTTGTGGGCTGTACGCTGTGTGCTTCGGGGTTAAGCGTTTTGTATCGATGGTTCACGGCTCACGGTTTAGGATTCGCGGTTTTGGGTTTAGGGTTCGGGATATGGGGTCTCGGGATTAAGATCTTGGGTTCAGAGATTAAGGCTCGGATTAAGGCTGATAGTTTGAGGGCTCAGGTTTTCGGGTTTGGCGTTCAGGCAGCCGGTTTTAAGGTTTGGGGTTTCAGCTTAAACCTTGTTTTGAGGTTTGTTTTTGTCGATGTCGATTCACGACTTTACCGCAAAAATGAGGAAGAAAGGGCTGCGGGAGGTTGAGGGTGTAAGTTTAGGGAACGCGCTATACCCGAAGTCAGCCTTATCCGCGAAAGTCTTAAAGCCCGGAATTCGGACGTCGACTGGGCCATTCTTGCTTTGATTGCTATGGGCGCCGACATTACTAAGGGGTGAAACCATGTAAGCCTGGCCCCCTTCTATTCTAAGCTCAACTTGTCACAAAGTCTGCATTGAGCCGTAGGGAGTGCCTTGTAGTGTAGCTAATTCGGGCAGCTACAAGATGAAATTTCCTATTACAAGGTTGCCGGTTGTTGTTTTTGGGAATCCCCTTTAGAATCTTGTCTGGTACCCTAGTTCAGCCCGAAGAGCGCTCAAAACCCCAGTTCAAGATCTCTGAACATTTACTAGGACACCTTCTTCACGGCCCCCTGCTGCCTTGTTCCTACTAGTAACTAGTAGTTCTATGTAGGATCTCTCGGCCCGTAGACACAGAGAAAATGAAGCCCAGACCTCTGCACACTCGCCGACACCCTGAGGCCTCCAACCCCTAGTTTCTGTGTGTCAACGCTCCACAAGGAAATGGAAGGCCAGTCGCAAGACCTATCCAGACTCCGGGCATGCCTTGTAAACGGTAAAATCCACACAGAAAGCACTTAGAGACTCGGAGCTCCGCTCAAACGTCAGCACAAATTCTTCATTCCCAAAAGAACTTCATAGTAGCGATAATGATACGTAACAAGTACTAGTAACAATAATCCAACACGAGTACTAGCAGTAGTAATGCCAAGAAGTATTTTGAACGAGTAACACTAGCCATGATACTGCTAGGCTAGAATGGTAATTACTAATGTAGTAGCAACAACTAGTATTCATGTCATGTGTACTATACTGTTGCACATGCCAGCTCCGGAGCAAGCATACTAGACCTTCGTAGCCATGAGGGCGTCCCTCTACTCTCTGGACGCGGCTGGTGGGAGGATCGCTGGAAGCCCAGTGTTTTGTTCGGTCTTCGTGGATAAGGATGTACAGTGCCTTGCATGGTACTATGTGCGCTTGATATTGCGGTCTTCAAAGGTTTGATGAGTTGGTTGGAATTTATGCCAGTTTATCGGGTACGTAGACGCGTTTCATGTTGACGGAAGCTTCTTCGTTTGAGGGCGTCGGGTTTGGTCCTGGATTTACTGGCCTTTAAAGCGATGCGGTTGCTTACAAGGGCCCAACGCGGCTTCTGCGGAATGCATCATGTTGCTCCAAAGCCCCAATCCACAACAAACCAAAGCCTCGTTTGCTCTTGGCAATTCCTAGCCTCTGGTGATTCGACACCCAAGCCTCAACTTCATGAGAGAATCCCACAAGCTAAACCCTCAACCATATAAGCTATTATATCTTTTGAAACCCAAGCCCCAAAGCGAAAGCTTTTGCTTCGGAGATGCAGGCTCCTTCGGTCTAAACCAGGAACAGTTTCGACACGGCCACAGCTTCAAGAACGCCTATGATCTTGTTTTTGTCTGAAACCGTCCCATACACCACTGGTATGTTGCTCACAGGTATTTATAAGTTATATAAGTTGTAGATTTTGCAAATGGTTATTTATAAGTTATATAAGTTGTAGATTTTGCAAATGGTTATGTCATGAGATAGACTGAACTTTAAACTCGATGCCATGCTGAAACCCGAAACTGCCTGACACTTCAATCTTACAATCTTGTCGGCCGGGGGGATTCCAGACCCTAGATCGTAAAAAATTGGCCCACGATCCTCAACCCACGGCAGAGTCTATAGGTCTTGTGGTCAGTGCTGTCAGAAGCGTGAGCCAGAGACCCTTGGCGATGGGGAGGAATTGCCGGCAGCTCAGGGCCTGGGGCTTCTCTTGTTGGGGGGTCTGCTTGTGCTGTCTACGCTGAGAGTTGAGGCTTTGGGTTTAGGGTGACGGCCAGCATCTGCCAGCCTTTTGGCAGATAGGAATCAACGACCGCACGGACAGACACGCAACAATCGGACACACGCATAGCCAAACAGTACACATGTAATTATATATCATGTGTCAAGACACATATCCACCTTGCACGAACTGTAAATAGCAACAGCGCTGGAGGCTCCTGCTTTGTGCCTAGACACGTCCAGGCCATCGCAGATCGTTCACTGCGCGGATGACGAGCTTTTAAAACGCTTCTCGGCCTTCGACTGTCGCTGGGCCGGTTCTCGGCCTCCGGCTTCCAGCCCCTAAATGGGCTGAGGCCCTGCAGCTCTTGGGTTTTTTTATGCGGCCTTCAGTTCAGTTGCACGAGTGTTTCTTCTTCGTTTGCAGGCATGGACCGTTTTCTTGCAGCCGCGCATGTCTATCCACCGACACATTGAAGACAAGAAGACAGGGCAGGTGTTGAGCATGTGAAGCCTACCTGAGGTGTCTCTTATTGCAGTTCCATTTCTGGTTCTCCTGGTTTCCTTCTTAGGATTAAGGTAACCAGGTATAGCGACTCTGCAATGACTCCCTCTACCCTGCGACCCTGAAGGAAAACACGGCATCCTAAACGACGATCTTGGTATGTTACAGTATATTCTGAGCCCTTTTGCTGAGACACAATTACAGCACTCACGCGCGCCCCCGATCAACTTGCTTCTTGTTCTCCTGAGGTTCTTCGCCGAGCAGCAGCAAGCGAAGTACCAAGGCAGGGAATATGATGTGGGGTTTTGGGGGTTATTAGAGCTGCTGCCAAGCCAGGGGTCCTTTGGAAGTCCCTGATGTTGAGGATGGTACTACGGCTACGGGGTCTTCTCGGAGAGAATCGCAGAGCAATCACAATGAAGTCCGTTGAACCCCGAGCCCTACTTGCCTGAAGTACAGGACAAGTGTAAACAAGACCCTTGCGAAGTGCAGCATGGAGTGGGGGCCTAAACCCAAACAGCAAAAAGCCCTAAAAATCTAGCAGCCCCTATGGCGGCCGTATTGAACCGCACTAAGCCCTCACAAGTGTTTAGGCCCTCGTCTTCTTTTGATTTGACCTTCAGAAATATCCGAAGCTAGGACGGAAGCCCTAAAATCCTGCAGGGAAGGAGCTTGCATCCAGCGCGTAGGGTTTTCCGGGTTTAGGGTTTAGAGGAGACAGCACACGAAGGTTGCATTTTTTCGTCTGTGCATGCGCTGTGCGCGTGTGCATGCGCTGTGCGTGTGTGCGTGTGTCAAAAGTGTATGTGTGTTTGTGTGTGTGTTTGTCTGCGCGTGTGTGTGTGTGTGTGTGTGTGTGTGTGTGTGTGTGTGTGTGCAGGCGCGCGCGCGCGTGTGTGTGGCTCCCTCCCTCGCTCTCTCTCGCTCTCTCTCGCTCTCTCTCGCTCTCTCTCGCTCTCTCTCGCTCTCTCTCGCTCTCTCTCTCTCTCTCTCTCTCTCTTTCTCTCTTTCTCTCTCTCTGGTCATGCGTGTGCGTTTACATGAAAAATGTGATAGTGCACATGCGCATGATGGCAGATGGGTGCAATCGCGCTATGTAAGAATTTGATTTTGCATTAAATCCTTGGGCAACTGTGGTCGCAAGGTCCATGTTCGTGAGGTTGAAGTTCGGGATCCGGGGATTGAGATTCGAAGTTGCAGTTTGTCCAACACGTAGATTTGGGTCTCGCGTTGCGGCAATGCGTCTGCAGGTTTCACATGCACTTGAGGTCTAGAGTTCAGGGAGCACGCGCTGAGGATGAAGCAGGGTTGGGCGAAATGCGTACAGTAGAGACATGCTTCTCTGTGTCAGACCTAGACGTAGACTAGAACTATCTAGATCCCCATGCTCCGCCATCAACCGAATGCTAAGAGTCAGAGCAAAAGTGGCAACAATAGTCAGATCACTTGCAAAGAGCCATTCCGCACTCGTGTTGAGACTGCTGCTGCCCGT